AGTCTGGCGCGGGGAAGAAATAAAAAAAGTTTGGTATGCTTGGTTTTTGTTTGACTTGCCTAGACATATCGATGGCGTTGTTGCTATTACGCAGACTGGGCCTGTGCCTCAAATGCCACAGCCAATGGTATTGTCTACCAGCGGCTGCAATTTCAAAGTTAAAGTCGCAACTGTTGTAGATAGCGTTGGCTGATTGCGGAAAGGTGTCGCACTTAAGAACTAGGACTCGAGAAACAGGCGCGACACTGAAGTGGGTTGAGTTGGCGCCTCTAACTATGGCCGCCAACTGACATGTCACGGGCAGTAGCGGCTGAGACTGAGAGACTGAGAGACTTAGAGACTGAGTGGAGGCATACAGGTCGCTGACAATCAGCAAAGCTACACGGCGCAATGCACACAACGGAAACGGAAGCTGCAGCAATGCTGCCTGCGACGCCTGTGATGAAGACGACGACGAAGACGATAGGAACCAAAATCAAAATGAGAATCGCAAAATGCAAAATGTAAAAAACGCTGTAAATTGCTTGTAGGCAATGCAGACTACGACGATGGCGACGGCGACGGCGACTGCGATGATGACAACAGCAGATGACAAAAGCGTAACGCAACGACATTCGACAACGTACCCGGTCGGCAGTCGACAGTTGAGAAAACAGGGTGAAGGACAATGCGCGTGCCTAACGTAACGCTTATTGAAATAGTTCTGAAGTGAGCTCGGCGACGCCAGTAGCAGCAGCCGCAGCAGCCGCAGCAGCAGCAGCAAGAACATCAGCAGCAGCAGCATCAACGTAAGCTTAAGTGTCAGCCCCACTCCAGTTGGCGGGGCCATAGACCCAGTTGCAGTGGCAGTTGTTATAGTAGGACCCAATCCACAGCGAGTGCCATAAACATAGCCCCCCTACTCCAACTTATTTCTTACCACTTACACATTGCCTTAGTAGCCGGCAATTGTTCAGCTAACAATCTGCACTAACGAAGGCAGCAGGCAGTAGGGTGCATGCGTTGGAGACCTTTCTTGGCAAAAGCCAGAGGCTGATGCCAGAGGCGTAGCTGCAGGGCTCATTTAATGCCAAACCAACCTGGCGGCAAAGACTTCATTGATTAGCTCTTAAAAGGCCTCTCTACGTGATTTTCATAAACGCTTGCAGTTACTCAGGATCTGCCGTTCTTAAGGCGTTGGCTTTGTATGTTACTGTGCAGCTGGATGGCTATTGGGAGGCTGATAGTTAGTTACTGCTTCAGCAGGGATTGCAAAATGTATCAAAAGTATGTATCAAATGTATCATTCAAAAGGCCTCTTTACGCGATTTTCATAAAAGCTAAGCGTTCAGGCATTACCTTTGTCTATGACTTGGCTTTGGGTGTAACTGTCCAGGTGGCTGATATTTAGTGACTCAGTATGGTTTAAAAAATTCATCAGAAGCCTCAAAAGGCCCCTCAATGCCATTTTTATAAATGCTCATTAATAATAATTGACCACGCTCTACCTCTATCTATAATTTGACTTTGGGTGTCACTGTGCAAGTTGCTGGCTTATTGGCAGGCAGTTAGTTTGTGACTCAGCAGGAATTGCGAAAAACACAAGCCCCAAAAGGCCTCTCTACTCGATTTTCATAAATGCTAATAATTGCTCAGCCGTTAGCTCTGAGTAAGGCTTTGGCTATTTTTTTTATTGTGCAGGTGGCTGGTTATTGGTGGGCTGATATTATGTGACTCAGCAGAATTTGCAAAATGTTACAGAAGCCTCGAACGGCCTTTCTACTCGATTTCAAAAATGCTAATAATTTCCCAGGCTCTGTCTCAGGATTTGACTATATTTATTACCGCGCAGGAGACCGGTTATTGGTGGGCTGATATTGGGGTCACTGTGCAGGTAGCTGGCTATTGGCAGTCTGCTAGTTGGTGCCTCAACAAGGCTTGCAAAATGTTACAGAAGCCTCAAAAGACCTTTCTACTCATTTTCATAAATGGTAACAATTGCTCAGACTCTGCTTTTGTATAAGGCTTTGGCTTTGCTTGTTACTGCGCAGGTGGCTGGTTATTGTTAAGTGACTCAGCGGAATTTATAAATGTAACACAAACCTTAAACGGCCTCTCTATGCGATTTTCATAAATTCTAAAAATTGCTCAGCCCGTGTGTGTGCAGGTAGCAGAAAATTGTCAAGCAGCTAGTTTGTGATTCAGACGTGCATGAAAAATTTATGTGGTATTCATTTATGTACCGAAAGCAGTGGAAAACGTAAGGTGGGATATAAGTAGGTGATATAAGCTAACTAGTTACCAAGGATTTGCATTGCGTGTAGTTAATTATCTTATAAGTGCACACCGTAAAGACCAAACCGCCCTGCTTCAATTAATCAAAACCAATCTACCATTTAAACATGTTAAGCTCACGCTAGTGTATAAGTTAGCAGGAACACATCAGCTTTCAAATTGTAATTATTGTAATTATTGTATGCTTCGGTTATTTTTTACCTTTGCTAGCAGGGAGCCCGTTTAGTTTTCGTATGCCATATGCAACATCTCAAAAGGATGCACAAGTATATCCTCTGCGATTAAGGATCACATTACTTCAACCAAACCGATTCAACATCCAGCTTTAACTAGCTATCTTTCAGTCGATATCGGTTTCCTCATAAGTGCATTTGCAGCTCCATATATATTCTCGATCAGGACGACAAGTCTACGTAAGCGTGTCGCTCTGAAGTCGATTTCATATATTATTCGCGAGCTTATAATAGTTTGCATATGTCCTCCCTTTTCATTATATCTAACGTTCAAATTATAAAATTATCTTATAAACTTCCCATAAGAGTATGGCTTATCATTTTGGAATATAGTCATAATGTGATGCCATCTTCCATATCCTTGAAGTTTCAGAGTGTTTAAGTGCTGGGTATGTATGTAATGTTTGCAATAACATCTTGGCGCTGGGTTCAGAGTATCTTATGGTCGGACACCACCGACTAGAGCACTGTTATTTGTTACTTTTCACGCTCATTGTTCGCTTCTACTCCGAATTCGCTGTTGATGTTTCAGCAGAGATTACGTAACCTAAGAAGATATGCAGAAAGGCTTACGAACACTTGCCAGCTCTCCCATATACGATTACTATCCAGCTCCAGCATTCAAGTCCAGCCAAGTAGCATCTGCATCAGCCACCATAACCAGGCTATTGTCCTCTCCAACTGTCTTTCCATTGCCATTTGCCGTGTGGTTCTTGTTTTGATTTTGTGCGTTTGGTTGCTTGTAAACTTGTTTGCCCGTTGTTGGCTTGAAATATCAGAGCCCGCTAACCACAGCTGAAACAAGCAGGGAGATAGCATTAGAAGGTTATGCAAGCTGGGCGAACAGGACTTTAATTGTAACTTGGGCTGAGGCCGAATCGAAGACCGCTACGGAAATGGAGCCGTACACAAAGGCAACTCACTTGCAGGCAACTTACTTGGGGCACAACCACGACTTTACTCCAGTAATGCCAACTAGTTTGCATCTCAGCTTCCTTCAACGCGAGGCAGGATTGTAATGCATTTAATAGATACGCTCTGTAGACTACCCAAGCCTTAAGGCTCAACGCATTTCAAAGAAAATTTATAATTATATTCTTAAGTTAGACAGATTCTACTTTTAAAAGCAACTCAATTTTGTCTTAAATTAAAGAATATATTTTCATCATAAGCAATGAGGGCCTAGCTGGCCGGACGCGCAATTAAAAGATTTAACAAACAAAAATGTAACTTTCATCCTATATTGCGACCATGGGATGGTTTTCATGAGAAGGGTAAAGCACGACCTTAATGAACATATATCTTTTATAATAGGTTTATCGAAGTTTATATATATATATATATTTATAATTATATATCTACTCAACAATCACATAGATTATGAGAAAGACGGAGACAGTCTTTCATATATTCACATCACTGAAAGAACAAAAGAAGTAGAGAGCTGATTAGAATATGAGCAAGGACAAGAAAGAGTAGAGTAACCGTGTGAAAACAGAGATAAAGTTAATGCGTTTCCTCAACATACCTTGTTAATGTAACACTTATAATTAAAGGATTAGAATCGATAAAGCTTATTTTAATTTCTGCATTTTAGCGCAGTGGAAAATAAACTTGGTCTGCGTTTGCTATACAAAGCGTCCATATGCACAAATATACATCATACTTAGATATTTATTAATACATACAGACGGACGATGTTGAAAAATACTTTTTAAATTTGTAGTGTAGCAGGACGTTGACTTGGTCACCTTTTGGTACATGCATAGACATATAAAAAAAGGTTTATTAGATTTGCAAAACAAAATTGTTAAAAGTAGCACTAAAAACTAAAAAACCTAAGCGTTTAAGCTTGAAAGCTGAACTTGAATTCATGAAAATTGCAGCGCAGGGCCTTTTATTCAAGACTCCGTCGAAACATTTTTTAATTCTTTATAATACGCAGCTATAAAGTAAGATTTACGCCCGTATTCGTTAAAACAGACACCCAACCGTATGCCTACCATTTAAGCCTGAAAGCCTTACTTAAATTCATGAAAATCGCATAGTAGGGCGTTTTATTGAAGACTTCATTGAAACATTTATTAAAAATTGTATAATGATCAACTTTTAAGTAAGATTTATGCTCGTACTCATTAAAATAGACACCCAAATCTAGGCCTTCCCACATTTTAATTCAACAGGCAACACAATGGACTAATGTACCTCCAGATTGAGTGGCCTGCATAGCCTAACCCAATCTATATGAACAGTAAAAATGAAATAAAATCTAGTTTGGAAGAAAATGACTTATAACTATTTTGGGATTGATCTTGTGCGACATAGCTTTCAGTCAAACTTACACAGTATAAAGGCTAAAGGACCGCGCTAACGGCCCTTTCAGTTAACATTAACATTACAGCAGGGAAATTTTAGATAACAGTGGCAGAAAAATATCCCGCCCACCACTTGATAAGAGGCGCGTCCCAGTCAGCCTTCGACTCAGTTGCCAGCGAGCAACCGAACGGCTTGGAAGTGCAGCAGCAGTAACAGCAGCAAATTCAGGAGCAGAAAGAACAGCAGCAGCAGCTTTTTGGCTGGCAGTTTTAAACTTTGAATGGACAACGGTCAGCAGCATCAGGAGAATCTCAAAGAAAAAAATAATAATAATCAAAACGTTTTGTTTTTTTTTTTTTTTTTACAAATACTTTTTTCTTGCTTGTTGCTGATAAATTCTGAAGGCTGGCAGCAAAGTGAATGACTTTTGATTGGCAGCGCGAGCGACCGTGCAAAAAGTTAGAGTGAATAAAACAGAAGTGCATGAGCATGCAGAAATGCATATTACAAAAAAGATGTGTTTTTTTACATTCATTATTTAGCGACATTTCTGTGGCAAATATCAAGCATATTGAGTGTGTGTGTGTTGATGTAAGCGTGTACGTGCGCGCGTGTGTCTGTGCCCAATTGTGTGTGCGTGTGTAGTTACGTGTTGTGCATTTCAAATTGGCACCGCTAGGCGAACAAAAAGAATTACTTTGCGCGCTTAAAAAAAGGCTTCGAAATGCAACCGACTGAGCTTGGCTGGCATTTTGAAAGTGTCGCTTTCATGTGTGTGTGCGTGTGTGCTTGTGTGTGTGTGTGTATCTGTGTGTGTGTGCTCGCGCGTGTTAATGCATAAGTTACTGTTTGCCTGCTGCTTGCCTCGCAGTGCCACGACTTAAGAGCAAATTTATGTATTTTTAATAGACAGCTGTGCATGGCAAAATAAAATATAATAATTAGCTCTGCAAACAGACAGAGAGAGCTCATAGCACTGCCAGCATCCCACCGACACACTGCCAACCAAGGAACGTCCACTGCCACAATAAAGTTTAAGCCAGTTACATTTTACAACGAACGCAACGAAAATTACTGCCAAAAACTTCATCATGTACAAAAAGCAAGAAAACAACAACTAAATTGTTGTAGCAACATTTTTTTTTTCTGTTTTTTTGTTTGTTTTTGTCTGTTGAGAAAGTGCCCCATATCAGCAGTAACAAGAACAACCGCAACAACAATTTAGAAGCAGCCAACGTGTTCACAATTCCGTTAAAGTCGCTGCTCCCGTTGCACGCCGTGTGGTAAGTTGACATTCCATTTCCATTTTCATTTTCATTTTCCATTGCGATTCGAGTGCACTTTCAACGGCATTTTGTTCGAGCTCTCCCCAACAAGCTCCTAACGCCGCTTGACTCCTAAGTGCATCTGCATGTTAGCATGTGTTGTTGTGTGCGTGTGCGAATGTGTGTGGTTGTGTGTGGGCGTCGGGGTCAGCGCGTTATTACAAGTTATGCGTTTTGGCATGGCACCAACAAGCCAACAGGCCAACAATCTAACAATGGCAGGCAGCTGATGCTACTGCTGATGCTACTGTTGCAGTTGTCCCCGTACAAACAGCAGCAGTCAGCGTAAAGAAAAGTCACGTTGACAATGGCAATGGCAACTGCTAGTTGGACCCCAAACAACAAACTATATGAGAACAAGAAGCAGAACTGAAACGAATAAAAGCTAATTTTGCCTTAGACTCTGTCTCTCGCTCTGTCTCACTTTTTACCTATCTCTGTCTCTGTCTCGTTCCCTTTCTCGCTTTTCATTTAAACCATCGAGCTGCTTATTTGCTGCCACTGATAGCAATTGGCCAAGTTCTCTTATTGCACTCTGCAACCGAGAAACTTTCATCAAGCCAAGGCCAATTATTGCCATTTACGAGCGGAGCCAACTAAATTGAACACAGATACAACAAAATTCATATGTGGCTGTATGTGTGTGTGTGTGTGTCGGTTAGTAAGTAGGTGCACATTGTTGACCCGTAATAAAAGTAAAAACTATTCGTATTTTCAAAGACTACAAATTATAATGTACATATCGAGTAGATGGATAGACGACATTTTATACCCACAATAAAAAATGGTACTTGAATAGAATTAAGCTTTAATACAAAAAGAAATCTTCCATTCGTAATTTTATTTGATTTTATTTTCTTCATAAGGTCGTGCGAATAAGTGCAGTTGTCAAAAGAAGACAATTTGGCCACAGTATATTTTCGCTTGTCAGACAGTTGGGAACTAACTATAACTATCCGAATTTTTAACTATCCGAATTATCCTCGATACCCACAGATCACTTTTCTGAGAAGAATCTGTTAGCAGGTCGTTTTAAATCCAAGCTTATTTTTCTATGGCAATTAGCTTGAATAGTTATACCCTGCCCTAAAATCGCCTTCTTACCCCGTTTTAAGTGGTGCACTTATTTTTGATTCAATTAGCAAAAGCCAGTGCGCTGAAGTTGCAGCTAAATATAGTGCACTCTTGGCAACAATTCTTGCGACGTTGAATTGCTTTTAAGCATAATTAGCACACATGTCAGAAGCTGCTAATTATTCCCATCCTACACCACTTAGCTGCTCTTATGAATGTACCAAAATAGCTTACCGAGTGCCACTGCAGTGCCACAATGCAGGTTAATCCTTAATAAGATGTCACTTGACTGATGGCTGTTAAGATTTGAAAGCAAGCAGCAACAGTGGCATTCAAGGTCCATTAGTGCCTGGTGCGATGGACCTGAAAGAAAAAACTAGAAACTGCAAATTAATTCGGCTCGCCGAAGATTAAATGCCCTCTTGTAGACATGCGGCATAGAAGTACTTTTAATCAAAAGCTTTATTTCCGACCGATTGTTCCAATGTAATATAGTAGTCCGATTTGATTTGGATTTGCGCACATGTAAAAAGAATAGTGCAGCTCGTAACTGATATATCTTGAAAATATCTCGAAGAGCAAAATGAATTTTCACGTATTGCCAAAGTACTAGTTTCCATAGAAACAGGCAGATGACATGCCTACCTCGAGTCGGCCGTAGATACTGATCAAGAATATGCCTATATACTTTATGGGATTGCAGATGACTCATATTAGGCGTTACAAACTTCGTGCCAAGACTCTAATGCCCTCAAGAAGAATATTAGAAAACCCAAAAAGTCACAAAGGACACTTTGAATGCTTATTCTGGCGGCACGAACGAAGGAGTCGCTCGCAAGATATTTTGATAACTGCAAGCGACAACGTCAACGGGTCAACCCAATTTATGGCTGTCTTTGTGGTTGATGTTGTTGTTGCTGGCCTTGTTGTAGCTACCGCTGCTGTGCATGCAAATGTAAATTTCAATTGAGAATTAATCGGGCAGGGCAGGCGTTGCACGCGTGTCACGTGCCACAATGAAACCGCGAGACCCTGAACGACTTTTCTGATGACTTTACGATAAGTCTTCGATTAAAAACTCGCCCATTATCAGAAATAGCTACTCAGCAGTTTTGCTCGTCCTTGCGAGCAAAAGTTTTGCGGCAAGTTTTCATTGTAAGTAGTTTTTTTTCCAAATATTTTTACTTGGGTCTTTTTTTGTTCGAAGACGTTGGCGGCAACTTTATAAATTCGCAGGCGCCTGCGAGTATGCAACATCTTCCTCGACATTTTTATATTTTTCCTTTTTGGCAGCACGGTTTATTTTGTGTTTTTTTTTGCTAAATTTTAATTAAAAGCTTAATTGGTTGCCACACCTAAGAAAATTAATATTTAACGATTGCGTAATTAAAAGCAAACAACGAACATGTTGTAGTTGTTGCATACATACATACAATATATAAAAATAATATATATGTAACTATATGTATGTATATATTTTTCTTACGGTCCAAAAAGCTGCAGTCTGACAGTCAGAGTCACGCCTCGAACCCTCGACTCGTTGACGCCTCGTACAGGCAGCATAGAAATTAAAAACTTAATGGTCTGGCAAGCAGACACTCACTCACACACCCGGGCACACACACGCACACGCACACGCACACAAATACATATGCCAATGACGCGCAAAATGAGCAGTGTGTGGCAACAGTTCTCCTATTTGGCAGGATGTCAAACAGGAATAATATCTGTACAATGTTTTAGTACGTGAAGTACGCGTAGGTTCACACAGCTGAGTTCAATGCAAATATTGACAGCATAATTTTCCGAGACACATTGATAATTGCGCATTTTGAACGCTGAAATTTGCAGCAGAACAATATTAGTGTGTACAAAACTGAAATACTGAAATTTCATTTTAATTAGGTTAAATACGCATTCCAAATAAGGTTCACTTGTTTTGTGTGTAGTGGACGCAGCTCCAACAACAATAGAATCTATTTAAACTTAAATTATTTCTAATGATGATTTTTCATGTTTTTTGGCGTCAAATGCGATTGTATTAATTAATTAAACAATTAAAGGGGGCAAGCCTGGCCAGACTCACGAACGGAACCTCAAGGCAAGAAGTTGGATTAAGCCGTGAACCAAATACCCGAAAGTTTGATTTTGGGCTTGCAGCCCTGGTTCTAGAACCCCATTAGTTCAAGTAAGAGCCTATTTTTTCACAGTTGTCAATTTTCTATCTATTGTACGCGCACAGCGTTTTTGGTGCTTCTTTACTTCGCTCCTCCTTGGAACAATATACGAAAATACGTGATCATTATAAAATTTGCAGATTAAAACGGAAGGGCACGCCCATACAGACAAATAGACATTTCTGGCCATGCCAAATAAGATCTTCGTTCTGATTAGGAATATATATATATATATATATATATATATATATATATATATGCGGTTGTGTTCTACTGAGTATTCAAAATTCCATCAAACTTGCGAAATATATACAAAAATATATAAAATGAAAACAAAATTAAATACAATTTCGGATTCCTTTAACTTTATGGGGCACAGAGTACAAAAAACTTTGATTCAGCTGAGCGCAGGGTGTTGTCGCCTTGAAGTCAAAGCTTATTTTTTTTTATTTGTTGACGTCTTGAGTTGATTTCCTTTTTGATATGTGGATTTCTTACAAACTTAATTTGTGCTCTGCCAGCGTGGGAATGTTCTACAATATTCCATTTCCTCTGGTCCTTTGTCCTGTGTGCTCTCCCTTGAACGAAGCTCATTTTGCGTGTAAATTAAAGCCAGCTCTACAATTCAGGGGACATTGGCCATCTACCCGCTGTCAGGCAAAACTGCAGGCACTGTGGGTTGTCCCGAACAGGACACACGACTAAGCACACACACTCTCACACACACACACTCACGTATACACCACACACGCAGCCACATTCACACAGATATTCATCTATGTCGCACATCGTTAAGCGCTGCCAGTTTGACTTAATTTGCGTTAAACTTTTTTGTTAAACATATCATTCGGTCGGCAGGCCCAACAAACAGGAAGAAAAAAAAATAAGCAAAACACACACCAAGAAGCGATGCGGGAACACAAACAAAGGCATTAATCATGCCAGCGTAGAGCGAAATACATATATATATATATTATATACAAACATAGAGAAAAAGCGACACGCAGTGGCAGTGAGAGGGCGACAGAAGGGTACACTTAGCTGGCTAAAATTAAGCGTAATGGTGTCTTTAGAGGGTTTACTAAGCGTTTGTTTAGATTCTCTCCGTGTCTGCGGCCATTATATCGGGTATTGGCAATAGCCTCATATGCTCTAGCTTAACAACGAAAATCATCGAAATACATTGCACACGCATGTGTGTGTGTGTGTGAGTGTGGGTGTGTGTAAATGTGTTTTCATAAATGACAAACTGTTTTTGGCTAAACAGAGGCCCCAAAAAATGAAACAACCCCGAAAAAACAGACCCCAATGTACATATATACATATAGAACAAACGACAACCAAATTTGCATGCTACCAAACAATAGACAGATACTCTTTCCTAAGCAAACTATCTGAACAGTATAAGAAATAATAGAAAAAGTCCGCTGGCTGTTGTTCAAAGTCCGTCACAACGATCTGATCTGAAATATATACAAGGCATAATTATACTCGAGTACGTCGCATTCAGTCTTTCAGCTGTACTCTAATTATACTCTATATTATTGAAAATACGAAAAAGTGCACAAGCATGGCAGGCAGTGACAAGGCGGAAGGTGGGAAAGGCACGGGCTGGGAGCGGTAGGTGGTTTAGTGCTTTTTACAGAACCTTATTTATTTACCAAATGAAAACTTTTGGCCCGAAACTAGACCGCAATAACTGTAAGTGCTCAGCAAACAGAGTCGAAAATGCCCAAAACTAACAAGCGATGGCGACGGCGACGCCTACCATAACTAAAGAGCGACCGCCACCTAGCCCCACACGCACATCACCTGGCCTTGCCCGGTCACAGCACCAGAGGTCCCAACCCACCCGCAACCCGCACAAATCATTCGTGTGTGTCGAGTATCCTGGCTGGCGAATTATTATGATAATCGCTGGCCAAACTTATGCGACATCCTTCCCAGCCAGCAATGCAATATGACAGCTTGCTTGTAATATTCCACAAAGCTGACCCGTCGATGCGTGCGACAGCGTTGACTCCGTGTCCAAGGTATTGCGGTAGTCTGCCAAGCTGCTAGTCAGCCAGGTGTCGCACCTTTGAAGTGCCAACAGTGTTGCTAAGTCGCGATTCATTCACTCTTCCCCACAGTCCGCCAGTCATTCAGTCATTCAGTCAGCTAGTCAGTCAGCCAGTTAGCTGGAGAGGGAATAGCTTTTATGGTTGCCTTGGGGAAATTAAGTTTGTGTCATGTTTTGTGTCATTCGATCTCCCCCGACGGCAGCGGGAGATTTGCACTTCAGCGTAACACACTGCGTATGCGTGATGTGTGCCACATGCAAATAGCACAAAGTGTTGCATACTTATGCGCGCGTGCAGCTAAGCGAGCTGCAATGGGATACACTAAGTGGAATCAAGTACGCTGTGCAATAAGATATTTCAAGAAATTACGCTTAAATGATTACCGCAAATTGTTTTTTTTTTATATATGGTTAACAAGCCGAGTTTCAAAAGATATTAATAAAATAATAAAATAAAATAAAATAAAATGAACTAAAGCAAAGTGAAATATTTTATATGATAATTTTATAAAGATTAAAATACCATAAATATGTTTTAAATAAAATACAAGATAGGAAGAGAGCATGAAAAATTTTATTTTTAAATTTTTAAGTATTAAAATAAGTAGATGGAAGCTTGCGAGGATATTTCTTAGCTTCTCTAAGTCCAACCTCTTAATGTTTTCTTGTCTTGCAAAACATTGGAATCTTCATTAAACTGTTCCTTAACATATTGAAACTTACAATAGAGAAATACAACTGTACCCAATAATGAATTATTGAAAAAGCTTGGTCCTAAAATAACCGCCGCACTTTTCCTGCAAGGCAAACAAAGTGCTATTTCAATAATGTTTAGATAATTGAAATATATTTTACTTACTTGTCTGACAAAATACTACCTAGTAATAACAAGCAGCTAATTAAGTTGAATTTAAACCACATACGTTTGTTGCTTGGTGAAGTTGCAAGAAAACTCATCTATTGGCCATCATTTCATAGCTCGAGGTACTGAGCACTCGCGCATATTTCATATTTGTTCAGAAGGTCCTTGTCCGCTATATTTAAAGGCGTTCGTCCTTATTGCCTGGCTGGCTGCCGTAACGGGCTTCTGGTTGGGCAATTTATCAAATATCTTATACGAAACTCTGTAGCTGTCAGCGTTGATTTTAGCGCTTAGTGTGTTGCTGCTGCTGTGTGAAGCTCCATCTGTGTGTGAGTGTGCGTATGGACTGTGGACGGTGGGCGTGGCAGGCGTGTGTTGACTTTCAGTGACGCGTGAATATAAAACACACCTGTTGCCAGGACCTCGGCTACTATGTGCGACGTCGACGGCGGCGTTTATATGACACGTAAGGTGGGTCCTTAACCCCTACTCCAAGCTCCCTTTGCCAAGATCCAACGCCGGGTGTTGATGTACTTTGGGGCTTCCTCATGCACAATAAAATATAAATAAAATATTTCTCAAGCAGGGGCAACAACATGAAGTTTGCTGAGACTCTTTACTAAGCGCATTACATTTATTGATATCATTGCAGAGTGTCCATTGCAGCGTGTGAGCAACATGCACCATGTGTCAGCAGCAGCAGCAACTTCAACAACAACAACAACAACGGAAACTGCCTCGACATCCGCTCGAGCGCTTCAGATACTAAGAAATTTTCAACCAAACACTGAAGTTGGTATTAAGGACCGCTAGAGATCCTCACAGAGGGGTGTAAAAGTGCTGACACCTTGTTCTCGCTTCCAGCTGTGGCAGCAATTAACTCTGATCGTTTGAGCCAAGATCAGATTAATCGCCACAGAGGGCAGTCTAGACCAGAGGTGAGCTCTATCAGCTATAAAGTATGTATCATATTGATTTCCCGCCTACATATATACTAATCAAATGTTCTCATTACACGCATTTCCATTTCAATTTATAAACATTTATCGCATTTGCACATAATAGTATGAACAGGACCGTTCACCCTTGAGCCTTATAAGGCTTACGTTTGCTTTACAAGAAGTTAAACTGCGTTTCGTGTTTTCAACCGCTTGTCAACGATGTCCTCTTGTCAACTGAACAACACCTCATCGACAACTGCAAACAATCGCATTAGTTTGTCAGTGCAACCATGTATGTAATCCTTTTCAAGGGGACAATTCGGGGATTACTTCCTTTATATATATATATATGCTTTAACACGCGGAACCCATTGAAAATGAAAAGGAGTCTAATGGTTTTGTGCAAATGTATGTCACGGGCCCCGTAGATGGAGCCTTCTTCGACCATATAACATACAAATAATATTGGTCTGCCTGTTTATCTTATTGCCTGGCCATCGACTCAAAATTTCAGATTTTAAGAAGCATAGACCTTATTTTGCTTAGGTCCCCCAAGGCCCTTTTGGATCCCCCTATTGACCGCGCAACTTGCCTCGATTCAGCGAAATCGATAGCTAAATTTCATTCATGTTTGATCCACGTCTTGGAACTTGTACGAACTAGTGTTACGAAATATGATATTTAGCTTCTCGCGTTTCATTGGATACCTTCCCATCTTTGCTACAAAATTTAATAATATACTATATAATTTTTGGATACTTTAGGCTGCCACATATATTCCCCTGCATATTCATAAGTACAGCAGCTCGGCGCTAATTTCGGGGTAGCTCCTAGTGGGGCATTCCCGACTAGCGCACATTTACTGATTTGTTATTTAATAGTTTGGTGAACAGCATGGATACAGCTTATTTAATCCAATCCAATGGCACAGAGCATGATGTAAACGAAATCGCAGCACAAAGTAATCAGCATTAAAAATTGTATTATAATAGTTTTATTTCTATTTATGCCATAGTTATAGAGAAACATTTCCGCTTAGCTGAGTCAATGACGCAAACATTTTTCGCTGAGAATCGCTGTGAACTGCTTCGGCTCGCAAGCCCCGTGCGACCGGTTTAGGCATTGTTTAGGGGCGGCTTCTCTGAATAGGTTTTTATTCACTTTCAACATATTTACAGCCCGCAATTATTTCCAGCATTTTATTTTTATATCTCTGGGCTGACAGTTGCTTTTCAATTTTTCGATGATTTGTTTGTGCCAATGGCAATCAAAGCCCCAATTGTTACGCCTTGGGGCATTGGGCGGGCTTAGGCTCCATAGGTATCAGGCTCCTATCTGGTTCCTGGCAGCTTCCTAGCCTATTTCAGCTTTTAGAGAGTGCTTTGTTTTTATTGAAAAGTGAACGCTTCCGTTTCCGCCAGTCGTGGCTCTCCCGTGTTTGTTGTGCTTCTCGTTCCTGTCTCCATCTCATTCGCACACCCGTCGGTGTCGGTGTCGGTGTCGTTGTGGTTGTTGTCGTCGTCGTCGTCGTCGTCGAGGGTTTGCCATTTAAATTACATGGCTTCGACATGGTAGAGGGCCCGCATTCATTCATGAGCTTGTCCCGCCAGCTATTTTTACACGCAATTTCTTTGACTCTGCCGCCTTTGTTCGCTTTCTTTACTTAAACAAATGAAACTAGAATCTCATTGCGGATCCTTGAAGGCCCACATACACAACAACAATCATTGGCATCCGTCAGAGCAAAACTATGATAACAAGACTATACAACACCGAAGAGGATCCCGCCTATTGCTCATTCATCTGGGGCGCGAATCTCACCAGCAACAATGACCTCGTCGTGGCCACCACCGCCAATTCGACCCATATTTATGCCAACGACTTGCGCGACGACTTATATGCGGTAAGTGGAAAATCTTACAGAAATATGTTCGCAATGCTCTCAGTGTGTAACACGATAGGTACTTAGATTAGCATAATAATAAAATCAAATCAAACTAAACGACAGCAAAATATTATTGTCAGTGCTTGGGCGCACGATTTGCATTGTTCACCTTTATTGTAAGGTATGCGGCAGCAAAGAAAAATGTCTAGTAAATTGGTAGTACGGCTAACGCAGGGTGGACTTATTAATTTAAAGACAAAGTGTTGTTTAATCAAAAAACAGTGCTTTACAACTTCACAAGCTTTTGTTATTTTCCGTTTAACTTTTCCATTATCAACTGATTGAGTTATATTTAGTGTTTTCTTTTTGTTTTTTTTTTTTTGAAAATATTTCCACAGCATGAAATTATTTTTCTTTTATTTGTTAAATATAAATGAGTCTTACATAAATAAAAGCACACCCGTGTTGTATAACGTGCCCAATTGCTATTTTGCTACCCTACTTTTTCTTTTAATTGCATAAACTATTAAAGACTAAAAACGTTCTCAATTATTTAGTATAAGTACTATGCGAGGTCCTTCAGCTAGATATTAGCAGAAACTTGAGTATAAGAACTATTTTGTTTACCTATTGTAATTATTGCTATTAAATTGCAATTTGTACACACAAACACACATTATATACTAACTGACTTTTCCTAAATATCATGAATTTGAATGAATTTAAACAAAAGTTCTATATAGGGAACGTTTATACCGCAATACGTGATAGTTGAATTCCAGTTAATCACACAATTTTCCCATAAACTATAACTAAGTTTTCTTTAAAAGCATGTCACGTTAGCAGCTGCATTTCAATCTGTTCTTTGAGCTAGAATCAAAAGCAGCTGCTCACAGCAGGTGCCTATGTTGTTTACCTCTTGCTTTTATTGCTATGTAATTGCATTTTGTACACATAGAAGAGAATTTTATTAAAAATGACAAGCCTGTTGCTTGCAGTTTGATATGAATTTATATAGAAGGAACGTTCATAGCGCAATACGTGGGAGTTGTATGCCAGTATATCACTATGGTTTTTCTCCCATAAACTATGACTGAGTTTTCTTTAAAATCATGTCATATTAGCAGCTTCATTTCAATCTGTTCTTTGAGCTACAATCAGTTATGTCAGGGGAAGGCACCTGCTGCGAACAGCTGCATTAGAGCTGTTGCCTACTTTTCAGCGGCTCACTCATAATGTGGTTGTTGTTTTTTCTTGCTATTTTTCTCGCACAGCTTATTAAACGGTAGGAACGGGCTGGGTGGCAGCCAGGACGAAAGTCCTATTCAAGGCAAAAGCGAAATAACTCATTTCATAGCACAGCACGTGCAAAAAGTTTGCACACAAGCCCCTGCTGCCGTTGCTGCTGCTGCTGCGGGTGATGTTGCTGCTGCTGTTGCTGCTGCGGTTGCTATTGGTGCTGCGGGTGTTGCTGCTGCTGCTGCTAGCGCTGTTGTCGTTCAAAAGGTGCTTTGTGTGCAACTTTCGCTCAAGGCTGCAGAAAAGGCGAACTCAAGTGAACTGGTGGTGCCTGTCTATCTCGGCGTAAGGCACAAAAACCAGGGTAAAACAACAACAACAACGGCAGCAGTAGCAGCAACAGCAGCAACAATAAAAAACTTAACAAAAAGCAAAAGCAAACATGCTAAAAAAGCATGCAAAACATATTTACAATGCGAAAAAGCCAACCCACTCAGTGGGGCACGTGTTAAAACAGAGAGAGAGAGAGAGCGGGAGCGTGACAGAAACAAAGAGAGCGATAGAGAGGGAGCTATTTAGATAGACAGTGCGATAGAGAAAAAGCTAGCACTCTAGTGTGTAGCATATAGTGTGTTCGCATGGGTGTGTGGGTGCGTGAGCATAACAAGTCGCAAATAAAAGTGTCAAGTTGACTATTGAATTTTTATCTGTAGCAGCCCATCCGACTTAGCAGCAGCAGCGGGAGGCGACTATGCGGGCGGCTGCAGCAGGCGAGAGGGAGACAAAGTGTCGGTGAGGAGTGGGCGCTAGAGCGAGAAGGAGTGCTCCATGATTTATGAGCCTTGCCGATTTTGTTTACTATTATTTTTATTATTATTATTACTTTTTATTGGTTTCGCTGTCGCTCAACTGTCTGCCATCCTTTCCCTCTGTTTTTTGCAGGACGTGGAGGATCCGCGCACCGAATCTCTACGCGAATACTGCTACGGCCTCATGTTGCCCGTCATCTGCGCCCTGGGCATCATTGGCAATGTTCTCAACCTAATTGTCCTCACCCGTCGCAATATGCGGGGCACCGCCTACATCTACATGCGAGGTAAGTCAGCAGCAAGGCCGCGCCGCGCCGCGCCGCGTCGCCTGCCCCTTGCCCAAACATTTGAAACCTTTTTTTCTTTTATTTTTCTTCTTCTGTTACGTCATTACGAAATAATTCAATTTCATTGACTGTCTACAAATGGCCACTTCACTGAATAATTGCCAATTTTAGTGTGTTGAAAGTATTTCATTCACATAAAGCGCCTCCAAATTCCACACTCAAATTGTATGCATCGGAATTACTATTTCTCGCTCAATGGCTACCATGAAAAAAAGAATGAAAAAAAATACATTTAGAGTGTGCCAGAAATAAAATACACTCAAAGAATTAACATCCCTTCCAAAGTAACAATATATTTGCTTACCAGCAAATTTATCTAAGTTTCGACTAGGACCATAGTCGCCAGAGCTATTTTTAACACTTTAATTGATCAAGTTCAAATGGTAACAATATGAGCAATGATAATAATAATACCAATTGCAAAAATTATATTAAATATTATAATATTGATAATAAGGGGCCATGACACTATGAAACAGCAAATGACCGCTTTTGATAATACCTTTATTTTTTCATAAATATTCAAAAATTGTATTTTCAATATTGAATAAAACTAAAATCGTCAGTTTCATCAATTTTGAATCAAACAAGTTTATTTTCCGTTGATCGACACGTGAAACTACAAAATCTTCAGTAGAAAGCCTTATTTATTTTTCCCTTTTTTAATTTTCTATGCGAAAAATACATATTCGAGCAACATGGAGCCTTTGGAAAGCTATATGATTCCGCAGTCCGATTTTTTCAACCTTGGCCAGAGTGTGTTCATCATAATCAAATAAAGAACTGTTGACTTTGGTTAAAATAACTGCAAAAACAAAAAGTGTTCACTAAAACGATTGATTTTTCTGCAAACCCCGCACAGCCAAACATACGAAGTGTTTGTTTAGGGAGCACTATCCTTAATATGTTCAATGAAATTGGTGTGTGGTTAAAAATAGGATTTATTGTTATTCCGTTGCATAGTGTTCTTCATATAGTAAATATATAGGTTACATTGGTTCAATGTTGCTGAGAATAAAATCATATGCTATGGATATACATACTTGTAATTCTGGTAAAGATTTATATACAACTAAAAGGCCTTCCATATTAAAGATCTATATTATGCTGATAATTCTTTAACGCACTTATGTAATCTAGTGGTCGGGGACACACACTGTCAAAACATCTGCACCGGGTCGTTTCACAGCTTTGAATTTAAGCCAGCTTCGATGGGCATCCTTGTTTATACTGCTGGCTCTTTTTTAGCGAGCTTATATTCATGATCCGCTCTTGTCTTGTACAAAATTTACCATGCCTTGCAGCTTCGACTGCTGCGCAACTTTAATGTGCAGCTCTATAAATACAGCTGTCTCTCATTTTTTAAATTTGTAACCGAAAATAAACATACAATTTCTGAATATGGGTGGAGAACGCGGTGTCCAAGAGTTTAAAGCTTAGAACTTGGCGCGAGCAAAGCCGGCTAAGCACGCTTGTACTTATAAATATATTCCAGCTAAGACGCTTAGCCGTCTTAGTGTGGGCCTAAATGTTATTCCCAATGATTCCAATTAAATTCATATTTTGAATTATATAAAAATGGGCTTTCTCAAAAATTTGTTGGTTCGTTTATATACTAAAACTAACAATAAAAATAAAAATTTAAATATACTTACTCACAGCTAGAGATTCTTTTAACAAGAACCGAAATTGGTATTAAAAAGCTTCAATCATAACTTCAATGCTCTTCCTCCTGCAATTTCAACTTAATTCAATTTCTCTGTTCAGTTCACATAACAAATCCAGGTGCCGACATGCTTAGAGCATGGGTGGGTCAGCTGAAAAGCGGCAGGGGGAGGCGGAAGTTTCACCGGTCGGTTGTTCTAGCATCATTTATAGAAAAACTTACATTTTTTTTAAGAGAGCAGCCATTTAATTGAAGCTTGCAGAAGCGTAGGGTTTCGTTGCTCCACGCAGCTTCACTGTAATTGCATTAAATTGGCAGAAAACATTTTTTGTTTATTATCAACATTTGTTTACTTTAATCTCAGTTGAGCACTAACTTTTATGATATATACATATATTAATACTATATAGTGCATTCATGCGGAAAAGCCATAAAAATAACCACTCAAGCTAATTTAAATAAAATTTTAATATATAACTATAATAGCTCGTATTTTTTATGGCGGACTTCACTTGTACTTTGACCAAGGTATGCTCCAGATACAAGCATGTTGGGTTCTAGCTTTTTTTCATATATCTTTCGCCCCTGAGCACTTTAACTATGACACACTTCAGTCCTCACACATCGATGCATTGGGATTTAATTTCATGTAAATGTATAATAAAAAGAAAACATATATTTTCAATGAATTTCCTATTATCATGTATATGTTCACACTTGCTAATACTTAAGAAAATAACCTTTGACCCTGCCCCAACAATGACAATGGCAAACTGTAGCAACAATGGCTTATGACAAACGAATATGCGTGTGTGTGTGTGTGTTTGCGTGTGCGTATATTTGTATGAACTGGCGTTGGGCAACCTTATTTGATTAGGCCCTCGGAAATTTATGTAAAGCCGCTAAGCTCCCAGGCGAAAAGAGGGACACCGGCCAGCATTGAGCCAAAAAGGAAATACGCGCAAAAAAATGGCGAAATGTATTGGACAGGATGTTAAATACGTGCAAGTAACTAACTAAGTATATTGGAGGCTCGCTCGCTTTATGGCCTTTTAATTGATTAATGAGATGGCCGACAAAAAATGAAATATGTCAACGGCGCAGCATGTTGCCAATTCTTGTGCAGTCCGCAATCCGCCTTCCGGCCGGCAATCAGTCATGCGGTGTACGCTGTGTCTGTGGCAAGGACTGGGGCAAGGACTCGCATTATTTGCCAGCTTCAGCTTCAAAGAAAGCAGCTCCGCAAATACGAGTATAAAATGTAAAATGCTTCAAATGTAATACGCATGCGATGGCAACATAATTGATTGCCTTTTGCCTGCCTGCCAGCTTTGCCAAATGGCGGCCGGAAGACGCGAGATGCGGGATGCGGAATGCGACAAGCGAGATGGTAACTGCTAGCTGGTAGCTTCTAGCTGATAGGTGATAGCTGGTAACTGGAAAATGGAAAATGGTAGATGGTAGATGGTTGCCACTTACGGGTTTTCGTTAGCTGTGTAGATGGGTAGCTGGGTAGCTGGAAGTTGGATAAATGCAAAGTGAGGTCCTCCGTTTGAAATATCACCAGTCTCATCTCAACAGGCAAGTCGAGTGGCATGGCAGTAAATATAAAGTTGAATAGCCTTGCAGCAGCTCCAAACCTGAAACTGGTTCTACTTACAACTGGACTATCCCAGAACTGTAAGCTGGTTACCAAGGCCTCTGAGTAATAATGACCGAAATCAGAGCAGTCATTTTATTAAAATAACAAAAATATTTTGCTGCCAGCAGCCTTTTTACGACGCGGTCCGTTGCCATTTGTCGGTCATTGCCTTCGACTGTTTGTCAGACTGCTTTATGTGAATTTCTTTCAGTGTGTGTGCGGGTGTGCGTGTGTGCGTGTGCTCCTACTGTAACGTGTATCAGAGCCACAGCACGCTGCTAGTATTTGGTGCCAGTTTAGCAAACAAAAGTTATGCACTTGGGCTATGAACGCTCTTTTTTTTTGGATGGGCTTCCATGCTTTATGACTGACAGGGGAATAGATGGGGAAAGTTATCGGCTTTATAATAAACAAGAGTACAACTTTCAAACAACACAGCAAATGCCCAACTTTACGCACTGAAAATCAGCCCAGCAAATCGAACAACTATTCTTAGTTTACTGCCACTTGAATTTTGGCTTTCTTTTTTATGTTATTTACTAATGATTCGAGATAAAAGATCTACAGCTATTCATTCGAAATTGAGTGGTCGTGATGTCCTTAACAAAATCTATATCCAGTCTACAGAACAAAAATTCAATTTTTGAATAATTTATTAAGAGACGAATAATTTATTAAGAGACGAACATTATTTTTTAAACAGGATATAGAGATATCTTTTTTAGATTTTTTACAAAGTTTTCAATAAAATGCTGAAATAAATACATCAATTTAAAATAACATTCCCAGAAGCAGAGCATCAACTGAATGTAATGTACGTAAGCTTTAAGCTGTTACCTTATTTCATAGTGAATCCTTTGGCTAGCTTTTCTTTGTTGGCCTCAAGTGAATGCTTAATCAACTGACCTTTACTGTTAAGCTGACAATCCTTTCGGTCTTCTAGTCAGTTAGTTTGCACTACAAACAACTCCTGTGTTGACCAACAATAGAACAGATTTGTATAAATTAGGCCCATGTGCTGAATGTGATGAACGAATCATCATGTGATGGACACTTATCAAGGTTGCCGCACACAAAACTGACATTTATATTGATGTGGCATGTACCCAATTAGATGAACAGCATTATACATCATATATATATATGTATGTGTGTGTGTGTGTGTGTGTGTGTGTGTGTGTGTGTGTCTGTGTATTACTGTGTGTTTGCATCGCAGGAAGTCATATATCTAGCATTAAGCTTTGTGTGCACGACAATTTGTGGCATCAGAAGAGCGGGTCAAGTGGCCGCTCACGAGGCAAACATATAAGTAATAATGTAATTATAGAGCCATAAACAAGTCGTAAATCAATAAATAACACACACTCGCACACACACACACACACACATACATGCACACACACTCGCACACGCACATCGCATTCGGCAATAAGTAGAAATTACATATCACAACAAAAACAACGGGCAACAACAGGAAAATTTTGTATTCTGAAAAAGGGACGCAAAATTAAGCAAACAGAGAACCGACCACCAAAAAGGAACAGGAACTCAGAGCCATTCATTCTGGTTGTTGGGGGGGAGGAGTGTTCTAGTGCCGGTTTCAGTTTCGTTAGCTTCCTGTTCACGGCCATGTCGGAAGCGACGCCATAATTATGCCATAAACTCAGCCATAAAACTGCTATAATGTGAGCTTTACAAATTTTCCCGCTTTTTTTTTTGTACTTCTCGTTTTCCTTAGCCTACTCCACGGCCGCACTGCTTGCCATTGTCTTTGCCATACCCTTTGGCATACGAATGTTGGTCCACAAGGATCGCGGACAGTGGGAGGAATTCGGACCGGCATTCTATACGGCACACTTGGAGCTTTTCCTTGGCAATGGTTGTTTGGGTAAGTGTGCATAAAGCTTGGCACCACAAAAGCTTACTAAGAACTTAACAGCTTCTTGTAAAACATAAGCCCAACTATTCGAGTTCTCAGTAAAAATTACAACATAAATATGAAAACATTAAGTTATATCTGACTGCTTGAGAATGCTCGCTAGGAGATACCCTGAATCTAGGCGTTTGCGCTTATATAAAATTAATTAGGTCTTACCAACATTAAAATATATTTACTTAAAAACTTAAGGAAATAATAATTAATATCATTGAACGATTTTTATATCCTGTATCCATTGGCAAGGTGGTAGGGGATTCAGACTCATTTTCAAAGCTCAAAATAAAATGTACTGAATGAACCACCTTCTAAATCAACGTGATTACAATTAAAAAATAAAAGAAAATCTTAAAAGGAAAACCCTTTGTTGTATACATGCATCAAGGTACCAAGCTGGCTTTGAACTAATGTTGGAACTCGAGCCGGTTCAAGCCCGGAATTCCAATGATCCGAATCGCAAACCAAACCAGATCTCCGAACCATATCAATGACCAAAATGGTTTGGTTCAAAATAAAAAGCTTTTGTGTGAGACCCAGCCTTAAAGTAAAAATAACTTAAAGCCCAACCATTCGGTTAATTAGACAATTGTAAAATAACATTTATATTTTTTCATTTCAACTTGGAGAATACATGAAGTAAAACCTAAATTCATGTATGTAGAAGTGCATATTCACGAACTAATTCTCTAGGCAACGAATTGGCTCGAACCGCAGACTGCACATCTGCACCTAGATACCCATTGAAAGCTGACCAGACGGACAAACAGCAAACTCGCTTTCTCAATATGTGAACAGAGTATACACACCTACAAAGTAAATACATTGTACATACAACTCTTACCAACCGTCCATTGACCTTCCAGGCGTTGGTGTGATGATGTTACTGGTGCTGACCATCGAGCGTTATGTGTCCGTCTGTCATCCGGGATTTACTCGACCCGTGATGGGTCCACCAGGGTGAGTATTGAAGATGATATTGCTAACTAACAGCTCCGTTTAACTGTGACTGTTTTTCACAGCGTGGTTGTCTTTCTCACCTGTTTCGCAACATTCATCATCTATCTGCCGAGCATCTTCCGAGGCGAACTGATCAAATGCATGCTGACATCGAACAACGTGTACGTGTACTTACGGCGGGACAACAACATCTATCAGCGCACCATCTTCTACTCGGTGTACAAGATAATGCTCGAGGTGATATTCAAGCTGATACCGACGGTTTTGATAGCGGGCCTGAATTTGCGAATCATGTTGGTTTACCGTCGCACTTGCGAGCGGCGCCGCCAGATGGTCCTCACCAGGGCGAACTATGTGAAGGACGACGATCCTCGTAAGTTTGCGGAAGAGCGACGTCTGTTTCTGCTGCTTGGCAGCACATCGATTCTGTTCCTACTCTGCGTCTCGCCCATGGCCATACTACATATGACAATTGCATCGGAAGTGTTGCCCAGCTTTCCGTTTCAGGTGTTTCGGGCGCTTGCCAATCTGCTGGAGCTGATCAACTATTCGATAACCTTCTATATTTACTGTCTGTTCAGCGAGGACTTTCGCAACACTCTGATGCGCACCATCAAGTGGCCGTGGCTGAAGAGCAAGCTGTGCCACCAGGTGGATGAGGTGAGTGCTAGTCCGCCAGCTACGGCCACTGCTGCTGTTTGTAATCCAGTTTGCCCGCCCCTTCACACAGACCCAGACCATAAAGGGCGTTCCAATGGTACGATTCGATAAGGTGACTTTGCGTAATCATCACATCACCACCACATCTGGCATTGGACGTTCGAGCAGCATATAGTCCAGGCTAACGCCCCCTCCTACGCCCGCCGCCACGCCCAAGATCATGCCCACAACCACGCCTACGTCCATCTCCATGCCAAACTAAATCGATCCCCATCCCGAACTGCCTTTAAGAATGCTAAATGTGCTCGAATTGAACACAAGTCCCGGTGCTTTTTCGCCATACATGTATATTTAACTCTAAATGCCGGAATACCCCCAACATTTGCCACATACGTAAACCTAGCTACACTTCTACAAGCCTACATTGAGCTAATGAGGAGATGTGTTCAGAGCCCCTTACTGCAGTATACGATATACATATATCTGATCGATCAGATGACACTGGAGTATTTATGCTTGTAATTGCCGCAAGTCAACTCGACCATTTAAATATATCTTATGATTTTATTTTTTTTTTATTTTAGGATGGGGCTCTTATCCATATAATGTGCATTCATGCATTTAGTACTTATATACGAATATTATTGGTGTTGTTCAAGGTTGATGCTAGAAAAACCGTTTTAGAAAACTCAAGAAAATATACCAAATATGCATACTACATATATCTATAACATATATCCTATATATGTTGAGATTGAATATTCATAACAGGTGCAAACAAAAGAATTTAGACATTGATCGCAAACTGAGCTGAATTATGGCAGTTATGGCAAGATCGATAATTAGACCCATAATTTTGGAGTTAAGGTGAATCAGCTGAAGAGAGCTTAAAGCAGAAGCATGAGCAGAAAAATGAAGATACGGAAGACAGTTCTTGCGAGGCGAGGCGAAAAGAATAGATGAGAGTTATTATGATAGAGGTCGCGACCCTTTAGTTTTTAGAGCAAAAGCAAGAGCTTAGCTAAAAAATAAAGGCAGCGGACGATAAAGTATCAATATGCATTTAAATGGTCGTCATAGTATTTCAATATTACATAAACATTAACAAAAACCTTAATAATACTACATATTTTTATGTGTCATAGTTACAAATCGATATAAATAAATATCCCCCATAATAAAACACAATATAGACGATATGTGTGTGTGCGTACGAATAGTCTAGATGCATTTAGATGCATTTCAATGACAGCAGAATAGACAGAATAGATCAATATTGAATGGTTTATCGATGATATTTATGTAAACTGGTGTATTTATATATACTACAAACACAAGTAAACACAATATATTTATATATACGTATATGTATCTATTGATTGTAGTATTTAAGTGCGTGCAAGTGGATTTCCTGATTTCGATTTTTTGTGGCACACTAAAAACTTTCGTCAGACGAAACTGTTGCAAATTAATATATTGTTAAACTAATTTTAATATTTGTATGCTATTACATTAAGTTATATTTATGTCTAGTTGATAGAAATCGAACACATTGAGTGCATTTACATACTAATTGTGAGGGGGCCTAATCAGGCGATCAGGCGACTCGCGACGAGAATCCTTTATAGCTATCCTGTTCTAGACCATCTCTAGTAAGACTTGACTTACCAACAATTTTAATTAGTTTACTAATGAAGGTATATGTATGTACGCTATAAATCCCCAACACTTGCAGCACTCGTAGAAAACTTCAAGATAAATGTGTGTACCTAGAATATAACTGTGCAAAATTTTGTCTACGTACAAGTAACTAAAACAGAACCTACTATACAAGAAACCATATATATATATATGTATCTTCAATATGCTTAACAACAGTATTTATTGGGAAGTCAGATAAAATTCCGACTAGGAAGCAGCATAGATGAGATATCAATGCAAAGAATTAAATGCAAACTTTGCATTCGAATTTTTTTTTTTGGCGAGCGCAGCTCAAATAAAAAAACGAAACAAGATATATTACTATACACATATACATTTAAAAATAATTAAAAATATCTATATATATATATATCTATATAAATGTGTAAGTTGCGGCTCAAAATGAGTTTAAACATATTAAAATCCAATGCAAGGCAGGCACCGAAGTGAATACTTAAAATACGAATGCAGCCATTTAACAGCAAACGCATAATTACGTATGGAAAGCAAATTCCAAATATGGCATATTAAATAAAGATTTAAATAACTACATACACAAAAGAAATACCGAAGGCGACAGCGAGAGCTGCGTCCTAAGGCCTAATACACAGTTCATATACATTTATCAACCATATAAACCATTTACATGTGAATTAAACAGTTTAAATTGGTGTCAATGTTCAATATAAAATACTACATAAAAAATTCAAGAAAATGCAAAAAAAAATAAACTTAAATACGCAAATATTACATTTCAAATTCCATATAAATGTCAAACGAAAATTTTACAAACCCGATGCCGTCAAAGCAAAGGATCAATAAATTAATTGAATTCTCCAAAAATACTTCTCTTTTATTCGCATCGACTTTTCATATATGCAATATTCATAAACAGCTCAATCGTTTTTTTGTTTTCCAGTAAAAAAATTTATTAACTAAGCAAACAAATTAAAAAAAAAAATTAATAAGAGTAATTTGTGGTTAGAAAATGGAAGAGCAACGTGAACATCACACGGCAAAGGAATATACAGTGAACATTGCCTACAAATAACAGCGGGCAGTCTTTAGTTGGCCGATTACCATGGTCGCCAAACCACCAAACGCTGCTTCACCAGCTCCGCCAGTTGGCGCTGCCGCTGTCGCTTGCGCTCAAAGATCTGATGGCGGATCTTCAACAAGATGCTAACCCGTGGCTCATCCGACGGTACCTTCGCCGTCGCCGTTGCCGTTGCTTTCTCCGCGTCTTCGCTGCACGTGCTCAGCTGCTCCATGAGCAGATCCATGTCGTGAGTGGTTGCCGGCGAGTGCGTTGCAGGCTGCTCCGCATACGCGCCCTGATTGTATTCATACTGCAGCTTGAGACGCTGACGCTGAAGGTAACAAAGGAATTTTCGATTAGCTAATGGCTCCCTCTGGCTTATAGAGCAGACGCAGTCGTACCTTTTTGCGTGCCGCATTCTCGGCGAGAAAACGGCAGAGCTGCTGCAGCTGCTGCTCGGCAAGTGTATCATCGTGCTCCTGCTGCACCCGCTGCTCCTGGCGCTGCTCCTCCAGCCGCTGCAGTTGGCGCTGCTTGATGGTTGCTTGCACCTTGCACTTGGTCGCCGTGTTCAGCTCCACTTTGATGATCTGCTGGTGCCGCTGCTGCTGCTGCTGTTGCTGCTGGCGTTGCTGTTTTAGTATTTTGTAAATGACACCCATGGTATCAATTGCTGGTATCTTTGGTTTGTTGTACTCGCGCGCCGAGCTGCTGGCACAGACTGTCCAAAATTGTTGCCATATTCAGCGTCTTATATGAGCTGCGACTGCTGCTCCTGCTGCTCCCCGAGAGAGCGGCAGAGAATGAATATCTGAATAAGAGCGACAGCGGGTGTGAGAACGGTTGCTGGTTTTTTGGAAAATGCATACCAAAAAAAGAATTACAAATAAAAATAAACCATAACTCACTCAGGGCGCATGTGTGTGTGCGTGTGGCACATTGCGCGCCAAACTTCAACTTGCCATATGAGCCATTGCTCAAGTGGAGTACTATTTTCTTCTCATTACAATGCCTTTAGCAACAACACATGTGGCGAGCCCGAGATAGCTAATAATAGCACACTGCATACACACGCACACACACGCATACGCATGCACAGTGAGGCGCACACAACACTTTCATGGCATTGTCAGCGCATGCAGCCACGCCCTCAGCCCCGTTCCTTGTTCCCGGCCGCATGTCCGCATGTTTGGCGCCCATTCCAAGTGTCGACTTGCGCTGCTGAGCCCGCCTTTTCTGGAATGCACTTATCAACGAAAAAGTACACTGACTTTGCGCTTAAGTTGGGCTTTCATAAATGTAGATAAAATCTATCTTGCTGTCTTGTATCTACTTACTTGCATCTGCCCTAAAACGCTCGAATGTGTACATTATTTTGATTTCAAATACAATTTTGCATTTGGAGAATAAAGTCCTTTAAATATATGGATTGAGCTGAATACACAAGTTTTTAAATAACAATAAATTAATCAATATTAAAAGTAAATAATTCTAAGTTTTTTATTTTTTATATATATTGGATATATTTGGATATATCTGTGTCAGAGCTTAGGGCTTCATCCTTGGAATACATTCTCGTGCAATTTCGTACCAAGTAAGTGCCTACATCGTTGCCTAGCTTGTCAGCAAACGTTGACTACAGAACAGAGTATTGCACAGTCGGTTCAACGTAACCGCGATTAATTTGATTTAAAAATTATTATAAACTCTTATAGCTTACTTCTTTATATTGATGAAAACATTTTCAAAATCTATTTATTAATTTTTGTCATTTTATTTATACTTATTGAAAACAGTTTTTATAATAAGTATATCATACAAAATATGTATTTATACAAATTTATAAATAGCGCCTGGGAAAAAACACTTTGCGACAGGCGCACTCACACACTGCCACAAAAAGAGCGAGCGCAAGCGGGAAAGATAGAAATAGACAAAGACAGAACCTTCCTCTGGCTGCGTGTCTGTGTCATGCCATGCACTTGAACTCCGCATTCACATGAATGTTCCATTGCCAGTCGCATTGCATTTGCCAGCTCATATGCGCGTTCCTGTTCCCGTACCCGTACCCGTACCCGCACCCGTGCCCGTTCCCGATCCTTTTACTAGTCCAGTCGGGTCGCCGCTTGGCGTCTTTTATATACACATATTATCACATGCCTGTCGTGCCGTATATTTTCTTCGTTTTGTTTGTATTTTTGTTGTTCTTTTATTTGAGCGTCAAGATGTTTCAAAGTGCACTTCAAGTGCGTTACAATTTGTGTCTATTTTTAGGTGCTTGGGAATACAACAGATAAGAAGGCCGCCAGCCAGAAGGCGGTTCCTCTAAGGCGCTTCTCCATCCACGTAAATCATAACATAGAGCCCCTTCGAAGGGGCAAATTTAATAAAGCTTAATGAGCGAATTACGATACACGCTCTATTTTGCCATAATTGTGCTTAAATCAGCATTAGCTACTCGCAGTCCTACTTGAGATTAAAGGCCGTATACGGCACAGTGGAGCTCAATGTCAATTCAGATGATGGTCACATATAAGAGTTCAATGAGTTTGTGCAAAAAGCAAGGCTACAAATCGGTTTTAGGCCGGTTCGAGCCCGAAACCCTAACTTATTTTCTTATTGATCCCAACAATAACATTTCCGTTTTTAATTGGCTGTCGATCAAATTTAGCCCGCATCTTGAAGTTGAAATCATATACGGCATCAAATATTTTCAGTTTATTAATAATATAATTTTTATATCAAATCATATTTGAAATCATTTGGCTAACCAAGGTTTTAATCGAAACGAGTTTCACGAGCTGTGCACCGGGTAAATATCTTGAGTTTGCAGCCCTGGTAAAAAGTCGCACTTCATTTCATCCTTTAAATTATAAATATTTATAGATATATTTTATCTAAAATTTATACGTACATCTTAGGCTTTAAAAAATAATAACGTAAAAAAAAAATAAATATATATAAAATAAAAAAAAATGCCATAGCCACTGCCTCCTCCATAGTTGAATCTGCCTCCTCCACTGCAGTGAAGCCCATGAGCCTTAGTTGAATTTTTGAGAATCGAGTAGTAAGGAATTAGTTAAAAATTTGTTTATTTTTTATTTGCATATAAGCATAAACAAATGCATATATGCATGCAAACTAACGTAAATTCCCAACACACATACATGCATACAAACATAATTATACACACATACACGCACACATACATAACACGTTTATATAAAAACACGTCCCAACATACACACATATACATAATGCGCACATACATATTTACATACAGGCTACATACACACGCGCAGACATCAATGCATACATGCACATATGAATAGACATACACACATACATCAATACATGCATGCATGCATATGTACTTAAATAAAACATACGTACATACAAATATATACACGCACATACATACACAAATACATATGTATATACAAACATACTTACATACATGCATGCATATATACAGACAAGCATACATACATACATACATTCATGCATACATACATACATACATACATACATACATACACACATACATACACAGATAAATACATACATAGACATACAGGTGCACATATGCGTAAATACATACATACACATATACATACATACAAACATATTGCTGGTACTCTATGGCCTTGCCTTGGCAAGTTTTATACTTCAAATTTTTTTCCCACCCGTAGAAAATTTAAATCTATCTTGAACTCCACGTCTTAAGTTATATTTTTCAGAGATATTTTAAAATCGAATTAAGAACCAAAAGTTGGAATCAAGGGCGTAAACACCAAATATTCGCTATATTGGCTTAGTCGCGGGTATAATTTCCAAAATCGATGAAACACGCATTCGTTTAATTTTTATATAGTGCTTTGATCGGACGAAACATTGACCTTTCCCTTAATCTTTAACCCCATTTGCCATCGAAGAGACCTATATTTTACAAAAAGAAACACGCCTCCAATGAATTTTCTTATGAATCTTTGCTAATGAGCTTACACCTGAAACATCGCCCACTCAACCTTTGACCCGCGTTAATCATCCAAGAAGGGTAAATGTTAGGAAAAATGTGAAGCTCTCATTAGATAAGTTTTCACAAAAATCTTTTTAATGCCGATCAAGAAGTAAAAAATTATCTTTCTTACAACCGTGTTCCGGTCATTTAGTACAGTTGAGAGAAGAATTTTGGAAATCGCTGAAACACGTATTAATTTAATTCTTATGCGGGTTTAAAAATAAGTCTGAAGCCGATCGGTCGAAACTTAAAACTTCACCCAAAATATCGTTGAATCGCATTTTATATCAAAAAATGTGAAACACATCCAAATTGAATTTTCATATAGAGCTTTGGAAATTAATTTAATTCCAAAACATCACTCACCATTTCTACCAAGGAGGAATGGATTTTGCGAAACGTGAATTTGAAAAAAAATCGTTAAAAATGAGACAGGTCGGAAAGCAAACAAAAAAGTTTCATGCATAATTTTTCTCGATTTTTCCACACTTGCGGGTGGAATTTAGCAATCCACGTCTCAGAGTGCACCACCATCAGATAAGAGAAAATTTCCTAGCTCTTACGGTTCGGGCTGTGAGTTGATCACCAATCAGTCAGTCAGGAGAAACAGTTTTATATAGAGAAGAATATTATTTTCAGATGTGCGATGAGGATAAAATTATGGTAATTTTTACAAGTATATCTAAAAACTTTTTATATATTTTCAATTCAAGTATTTTTTGGTTTGCTTTGAGTCAGTGTTGTTAACGGAGCCAAGCTGCAACGTAGTTGGGTCAATTTTCAATGCGCGTGTGCGCCCGTCTGTCTATGAGATTGTGTTTTCTTCTGTGCCTATGTGAATGGGTGTTCGAGTGTGAGTGAGTGTTTTAGCTGTTAAGTGTGCCTGCACTTGGATTTCATTTGGTGGTACATTGTACACGAGTATTAGCCGCTGATGCAGTCGGTTAAAATGTCTGTTACAAATGTAATTTAAATATTTCACTCGTGCATTTCAAGCGTCGCATTTTCAAGTTGGGCCCCTTGAAATTGTCGGTGGTTTCTGGATTTTGGTGGTGCGACAGCCCTAAGTGACAATTAGCTGTGTGTGTTTGTCCGAGCAAACATTTCCCACAATTGAGCAGCGAGCACAGGCTCTGCTCAGCTCTGCTCTGAGAGCGGGGAGAATCTCTCCCTTTTTCATTAGAAAACCAAACAAGTGCTGAGTGGGTAATAAAAATATGCACTGTCTGCTCGGGTTTTGGTAAGCCCTGGAGTGGATTTCGTTCCGGGTCTCTGGAGCTAATCGATATGCATTGGGCCTTCTGCTTGTTCGGCTTTTCATAATTTGTGTATTACTTTAGTTCTATTTCAGTACTTCCGCTTAAATGGGCGTCTGAAACTTATTTTTGGCTTCTCTTTGTTTTTTCGTTTTTTGTTCTATGTGGTAAACAAATAAAAATATAAGCTATGTACATTCCACACATTACGATGGCAGTATAATTGGCCTGGTGCTCAGGCACAGCCTCAGCTGACCCACTAATTACTCAAAACGGCCGGACAATCGCTGTCTCTGAGGCGTCTGAGCGGCGCCCAACGCGTTGGCCCATATTCAAAGGCTGGATGAAGGAAGTCGTCACTCGCTGGGGGCCACGGCCACGGCCACCGGCTGTTGTACAGATTGGCGACCTGACAACTTTATACATACATAAAAATATACATCTTCAATACAACTCCACACAACGCACAATTTCTCACGGTCTCCCGCAGCAATTTGCCAAAGTTCGGTATGGGATCTCGGATCTCGGGGCCCCCGAGCATCTGCCAAGCTGTCAGCAGCGGTGTTAATGAGCCGCGTGTAGGGTGAAATACAATGCCACAACTTGGTGCAAAGATTCTACAAACTTTACCCAAGCAAGTTTTAAAGCCTCAAATTGCTTGGATTAACAGCTCAAAACAACATTGCAAAGAACAGGTTTGATCCAAGCTCGATGATCTGAAGCTTAAATGGCTACATCTATATCTATATCTATATCTATATCTATATCTATATCTATATCTATATCTATATCTATATCTATATCTATATCTATATCTATATCTATATCTAAATCTATATCTAAATCTATATCTATATCTATATCTATATCTATATCTATATCTATATCTATATCTATATCTATATCAATATCTATATCTATATCTATACCTATATATACCTATATCTATATCTATATCTAAATCTATATCTATATCTAAATCTATATCTATATCTATATCTATATCTATAGATGTAGCTATTTAAGTTTCAGATCATCGAGCTTGGATCAAATCTGTTCTTTGCAATGTTGTTTTAAGCTGTAGATATAGATGTAGATATAGATATAGATATAGGTATAGATATAGATATAGATATAGATATAGATATAGATATAGATATAGATATAGATATAGATATAGATATAGATATAGATATAGATATAGATATAGATATAGATATAGATATAGATATAGATATAGATATAGATATAGATATAGATATAGATATAGATATAGATATAGATATAGATATAGATATAGATATAGATATAGATATAGATATAGATAAAGATAAAGATATAGATATAGATATAGATATAGATATAGATATAGATATAGATATAGATATAGATATAGATATAGATATAGATATAGATATATTGTATATATATTGTTGACAGATTCGAGCCAATTCGACACCCCGAGCTGTGTCATTTGGGTTCATATGTTGCATCTTTAACAGATATCTCAAGTTCATGGTCCGCTTAAAACAAAATTTTGTGGGCACGAGTAAACGGCAACAAGATAATAAAAACGAGGCCACATACATAGATAGCGAGAAATCTCTGAGTAGAACACATGTGAGCAGACGCCCCTCTGCTCGCTCCCGTTGCTGGCCACCCACTTTCCGCACGGCAAACAAAGCCAGACAGTGTTATGCCATGGGGAGGAAAAGCATTTAAAAGCAGTTGTTGCCACCAAGTTCCAAGAGGAACTGCCCCAAGAGTGTCGCCGCAACAACCGCCGCTCGCGTGCAACATTGGTGACCGTGGGAAACTTTACTCTGCCACAATCTCAAAAAGCCATTTGCCAGCGTCGAAAGATCAACAACAACAGCAGCAGCAGCAACAAAAACAGCATCAACAACAAAAGGAAAAACAAACATCAACAGAGTACCAGCGTAGTCGGCGTCGACTGCGACGAGTTGCTTGGCCTGCTGAAATTTCAACTGTTTGACGCGCTTCGCTCGATTGCGCACAGAATTTGCAACTGTAGCACAGTTGCAACTGTCAATGGCAAAGATATCGACTGTGGCAGCAACCAGCTGCGGCACACGCGTCTTTATTAGATAACATCGTGCCAAGACCGCAGGCGGATTACCTAACGAGGCAGAGGAGCATGCAATAGATTATTAGCTGAACTGATGAGTCGAGCCGAGCCTGACAAATGCTTGGAACTAAAGTCAATTTGAAAATGTTGCCAGACCTATAAAACTGAATACAAATATAGGACAACCTGTCTTATAACATTTTCAACTAGAATTATAACGTAATATAACATAACAATAGCCCTAGAACCATATCACATAGTACTCAGGTGTACTTTTATAAAACATGTTCAATAAATAAATCAACTGCAATCAATCAGTTAAGAGAAACAGTTGTATATATTTATCTATATAGACCAGGAGATGGCCCCTGTCCAGGTTTAAATTGCCCTAACATATATTATAAATAATACTAACTATATAAATATATATGTTAATATGTATCGAAATGTACACAAATGTACATCATCTACAATCAATCAGTTGTATATATACTTAGTCAGATTTTGATTTTTGTGTACTTACCTAACTTACTTAATTCATATAACACGCACAATTATTTTATTGTCAAATTCATAATTTAATATATACACCCCATTTAAAGAACAAGAAAGTAGAGCAGTAGCAGCAATGTGGGAAAATGAGAGATGAGAGAAAGAAAGGGCAAAGAATAAACTATTATGAGAGTAGGACCAGAAAAAAAATGATTAGATTGCTAACACATCCACTTAAAGCATGAAAGCCAGCAGGGCTTACTTAATTTCATGAGAATCGCATAGTAGGGCGACTTTTAAAAATACGAAAGGTCAATTTGTACTGGATCCACAGGTTATCTCCTAGACTACCTACTTATATATAGACCCACCTAATTATTACTGATTGATGTTCAACGCACAGTTCAGTCAATCAATTTATCAATCAATAAGTCTGTCAGTAAGACAATCATTTATGGGTATATACATGTATGCGCATATAATTTTAGTGAAATATTCACAAAAGTTATAAGAAAAAAATGATTGACGAACTGCTGCCGAGTAAAGTGAATACAGTGAACAAGAATCCAGCAAGATAGTAGCGTAACAGGAAACGACAGCGTCACTGTGAAGTCGCAACAGCAACTGCGCTGCTGGCCAGTGGCCACCCAAAGAACAGCTTGACGAGCTGAAGCAGCGGCATTGGCAGCTTTTGAATACGACACGCATGCGCTGTTGTCAGCATCGCGAAGAGAGAGGAAGAACGGCATGCTTTGGCACGCCGAAGATTAAATACCCTTGCAGATATTTGATACTTATTAGGTGTCGCGATAGAATTAAATTGACTATGAAAGTGGAATTTAAATTATATTTAAAAATAACAAGTGACATTATGAGGCAGAAGAAGGAGGATGTTTTTAATAAATTTTCATCTGAATATGCCTCTGACAACTATATAATATAGTGGTTCAGCCGATTCTGTATGTACTGCCTGCTACAGAAGGACGAACCTATGCCTAGTCTGCATAAAAACAGACGGACAAATAGATGGATATGGTTAAATCGATTCGAATGTGTCGTGGATATCTTCTTTAGTGCGTTACATATTTATTGACAAAACTAGACTACCCTCTGCAAGGGTATATGAATTGCGACGCGGCGCTGCGGCTGCTGCTGCTGTCTCAGCTGCCAGCAGTCAGTCGAGACCCAGCGGGCAGATTGTGCGCAGCCTGTAAGCCAAAGCCAAGGTATAGACGCAATAGTTATCTAAAGCACCATGTCAACGCATGACCAGGGCATGCCGGTGGGCGCAGTGTCGCGTTCGCATCAGTATCGCAAGGTCATGAAGCCGCTGCTCGAGCGCAAGCGGCGAGCACGCATCAACAGATGTCTGGACGAACTGAAGCGGCTCATAGTGGAGGTCGTGCTGTTGGTAAGCAGTCACCGTCGCTCGGCAAAGCACATATCACACCTATTTTCATAATAACTAGGATGAGGAGACGCTGTCCAAGCTGGAAAAAGCTGACATACTAGAGCTGACTGTGCATCATCTACACAGACAGCTCAAGCCCGCGAGCATCCCCAGGAAGAGTGAGGGGTCAGTCCACTTGGATACACGGCACAGCTTGCAGCACTTTTGGTTTGGATCTCAGCAGTGCATTCTAGAGGTAGCACGATTTTTACATCCTCATGACATGCAGCTCAATGGCAAGTTCCTTAGGGCCATGCAGCAGCTGATGCCAGCTAAACCGGAAAGTTTTTGGCGACCCTGGTAGATGGATACTAGAAGAGACTGTCTAATTTCTGGCGCGGCTCAGGCTACAAAGGCAACAACGCCAAAACATCTTTGACGTTCACGCAAATCACATAAAATTGTATTAAGAATTAGGTTTTGTTGATCGCGTAGAGCTCTCTTGTTTTATAAGGTATTTTTGTTAGGCTTATTCTACATGGCTAAGCGACCCTGAATTTAGTTAGGGACGCACGGGACCCTTGGGCTTAACTCTTGGAAAACGCATTTTTACTATGTCACTTAATGTGTTACACATAAGTTGCTATTTACAGATATTTAAATATAATATAAATATATTCATATTAAGTTTAGTTAAAAATGGCAACCAGTGCCTAACTGTACTTTAGTTCTTATTTTGGAGTTTTATAGATGACGCATTTGAAGTGGGGACTTTTATAATTCCCACTCTTTTAAGACTTCTAACTGTTAAATTATTTTGGTTTATAAATGATAAATAGTCCACAGTGTTTGAGTAAGCAAATGTTTAACTACAATAATTTTTGTTGCAGTGTAATGTACAGTCAAAAGAGTCTTACTTTTTTATCCATGAAGCCCTTAAAAATTGGTTAATGATTTTGTGCCAATATTTGTAAAAGGCAGAAGAACCAACTCCATAAATTATATTTGTTCTTGATCGGGACTACGAGCTGAGTCGATTAAGTCATGCCCGTTTCTGTCTGTTTGGACGTGTCCATCTCGGAAACTACAAAAGCAAGCGATTTAAAACTTGACATATATGTACTTATATTGTCGTATATCATAAGCATACGAGCTCATTACTTTTTGTCGATGTCTCGTGCCATCTCCAAATTATCGATAAAAATCAATTTTGAGACTAGGTTTTTTAAGCATAACTCAAAAACTATAAGAGCTCGATTTACCAAATTTGATACGTGGGCTCTCGTATTGCATATATTTTCACATTTCAGTCAAAATTAAACAAACCCATTTTTAAAGCAAGAGCCTTGTAGTTTGGTATACACACACATTTGAATGACATATTTATGCCCTCTAATTAGAGGAAGAAGTTATTAAAGATTTAATTTCCCATCTATATGTACCTGCAAAAGTAATGTGGAATACGTATTGGGCTATGCAGTTTAATGAATTTAAGAGTACAAGGGGTGAAGCTTAAGTATTATATTGACTGTGGGGTAAAGAGGATCAAAAAGTCACTTAAAGAATTTATCATTTTCAAAATATCTGTAAGACTTAGTTTTCCAAATTTTTCAAATTTAACGTCATTATTATATCAAAGATTTGGGAATAAAGAATAAATTACTTACAGTAAATTAAGTATCAGAGCAATCAAATGAAGTCAAGCGTTGACAGCCCGAAGATACCTATGCGTATTCTTTAAAGTTCATTGAACTTTTGTAGTGTTTTAAATATTAATGGCCAACTAGAACGAAATGTTTTAAATAAAACATTATATTGTTTCATTATAATAATTTCAAAAAACATTTATTTTCTTTCATTTGTGTTGCGTGTTTTCTTAGGTTCATTTGTGTGCATGTTTTTCGTTTAGCCAAAATCAGGGCAAATAATTTTTGCATTTTTAATGGTAATTTAACACCGCGTTAGGCTTTAATTAAATATTAAAAACATTTGCTTAACTCACATTAATGCTAACAAAAATATTGCTTACGTTTGTATTTACCGCACAATGAAAATAATTGCCTTTAGTTGACGATTATTTAATTATATAAAAAAAATCTTCTCTTTGAATTATCATAAGTGTTAGAGTATATATGTAATATAATAAGAGATTATCGGATAATAACTGTGTATATATTTCTTTGTGTATTGTTCTTCTTGTAGTTGTTGTTATTCCTCTTTAACTTAGCTGCTACAATTTTCTATGTACAATTGTTTCAATATTTCTCGTCAAGTGAAATAAGCGCCAAAAAATTGATTGTTGCTGCAGCTTCTCTTTTACCCACATTTCTTTAATGAATCGACAGAATTTAGTTTGATTAATATCATCATAATTTTGACATCTTTTAGTGTGGCTTGCCCCATGTAAGCAACTTATATGCTAGCTAATAATATAGTTTATAGCTATATAAATATTTGTATAATATAAATATGTGTAAATTGTTTGCATTTGCTGAAGAATTTCGGTGAGGATAAAAAGGCATGCAAATATTTTGTGCATTATGCAAGTTTAACTAACTTTGTGAACTTTCGGCATTAGGCTGCCTTTGCATTTCAATTTAAATAGTTTCCAAATGAAACAAACTGCGCATTACATACATATAAAAGTATTAGGTAAGAGACAGATACGTAAATACACAATTTTGACCTTTAAAATACATAATTATATCTGTACCGGGCAATTAACAGAGCGACACAGCAACAATATTGTGTACAAGTAGCAAGCTTTCATTACCGGAAACCACAGCGTCAATTTATTTACTAAATCAATTGTTTATTGCAGTTATTTTCAGAAATTTCGTATAAGGTATATTTTAGTATTAGTTTAGAACAAAAGTCTTGAGTAATTTTTATATTTTCACAATTTTGTTTTTTGTTTTTTTGCCATATGAGGAAAACACAAGTTTATATTTTAATGCCATTGCACTTGATTTGGTTTTAAGCTCTAATCAATCTATGAGTATTTGCACAATTAAACTCTTGATTGCTTGAAGTCCTGCAAACATTACCGATTGCATTAAGATTTGCTGAACGTAGTTGTATTTGTTGAGCGTAAAAATTATTTTGAAAAAAACATACTGAAATACAGTAAACATTCAATATGAGTAACTAGTTAACTAGATGGAATCAGTTTATATTTTGTAGGGTCTATACAAATGCCCATAAATGCCAATTAAATTTCGAAATCTCTTTAAAAACTTTTTGTATTTTCTCTACTATTTACCATATTGAAAGATCACTGTATGTACAAATTCTACAAAATTCAACGCAAGCTATTTAGAAAACACGTTTAATCAATTATATAAAAAAATAATATATGGCTAGATATAAAGCAAAATATATATTTAGCTCTGAACGGTAAAAAAGATAACACCAAGAGAAAGAGAAACACAAAGCAATATTTACGAATAGAGAAGAGTATTACGTGGCTGTAGATATGATAGAGTATAGGTAAAGCATATTGCAATAGAGAATGTACAATCGAGGTTTTCTTTTTGTTTATAGATGTGGAGTTTAGTTATAACATTTTATTTAACTTATATTCATGTGATTTTGAACTTAGGTTTTATTGATATTTTTAAATGTTTGTTACTTTTAACTTATTGTAGTCAAAGTTTTTCAGAGTTTAGAGATTTGTTTTAATTTTTTTTTTTTTTTTAATTTTTGTTTGTTTTGTTTTAATAAAGCTGAACCACATATAAAATAGAAATTATTTTAGTTTGGTGATTAGATTGTTGTAGAGAAGAGAATATACGAAAGCAGAAAATTAACAGAAGAGTATAAAGTGTTATGCATAGTGTATAAAGAGTATAGAAGGTATAGAGTGTGTAGAGTGTGTTTGTTTACCAGAGAGTTTCCAGAGAGTTTGCACATTGATGATTGTAAAATGCGATAGTTCTCAAGGCATTTCAAATGTATATACTTGTATAAATATTGTATGTAAATATATCGTTTTAATTTCCATTGAATATGTTTTCAGAAAGTTGCAAGCTCTAAGTAGTTGTCGTAAAGAATGCCAAAATAAATGTAGTCGAAAAATTTGATATTGTTTAATAAGGCATGCAGAAATATGGTATAGTTATGGGTGGTAATATTCAATAATAAAAAAAGAAACACATATTTCAATAGCTTTTATTCAAACTGCGAACTGTACTTCAAGTATCCATGAGCAGACCATATATGTATGTATGTGTATAAACGATTAACATATAGATAGGCTAATTTAGCTTAAAGCCAATTTGAATTATCTTCCAATAATACATTAAATACATGTACGCCATGAAATGAAAATAACGAAACAAATTTTACAAATTTGCCTACGCTAAGGATTTAGTTAAAAGTATTTTTGTTTTCAAATAACATTATCGGAGCAATGTCTAGAGTTTGGAACCAAATTGATTGTCTGCGCATTAGCTTGCTGCAGTGCAATAAAAATTAAATCTAGCAACTAAAACATATCTATAAATTTCAAAAGACAAACAAAAAAAAAACACGCACATACACAGTCACGCCGAAGGAACACGCTCGTGGACATTAGTCCAGCTGCTAGGATTTTAATAGCTGAAAGAGGGGTTCGAATAAGTTATAGAGCCATGCCCCATGCAATAAGCTTTCGTGTTCGTGTCAATAAGTTGAACCAATTGTTCAGTGGGGGGTTGCCCCTTTTTGTGCTCGATGACTTTTGAGTTGCGAGTTCAATTTGATAACACAAAACGTTTCCTGACATTGAGTTTAGACAGCTATGTATATATATATATATATTGTATATATAAATCGTATATAATTAGTCCAATAAGCAAATTTTCCATTAATAAACTTCAAATATCAACACGTTCGATTATCAACAGTTGTTGCTGCTGCAACTGGCTCAGCAAAAGGCTTAACAATCGAGATGGGAAAGCATCTATTAGCATAGTATTTAGGGTTTGGCTTGGGGCACATACAAGTACGAGTAAGTTTTTGTATGTATTTGTATATATATATATTTTTTTTTAAAAAGCATTAGCATTATATTTAGGCATTTACTATATGTATTAATATTTTGCCCTTGGCGCATTTTGCCTACAATATCTGATTTATATGTTTATTAGCATTTATATGTAATTAATTTATGAAAAAAAAAATTCAACTATAAATTTCATTTATTTAATTTGTTTTCTGTTGGCTTTAAAATTGATTTCTTTCCTTTTGCAAGCATTTCAATAAAAATGCTCTCACAATAAAACAAAAGCCTAAGTTATACAAATGTATATGCATATATATACATATAAATATATATATATATATATATATATGAATATATATGGTATGTGGTGCATACTTTTATCTTTGTATACATATACATGTATATATATATATACATACATATATGCACATACATGTATAAGTAAGTAATTTTAAAAAAGCGTCGCTATTATTTAAATTGGTGTTTTCTGACGAATTTTGCATAATATTCCTCTGTGGGCTGCATTGTTAATTGTTTTATAATTTTTATCGTTGTAGTATATGTATATGTATTAAATATCTGCATTTTTTGGAATTTCACTCAAACAAATTCAAGTTTCAGTTTCTGTATTCAATTTGCGTTTCGATATTTTAAGCCGCGGCTTTGGGGCTAACAAGCTGCCACTAGGCAAATGACATATAATACATATGTGTGTCTGTGTGTGTGTGTGTGTGTGTGTGTGTGTGTGTAGGTCTGCTTGTGTATGTGGGTGTGTGGATGTGTTTGTATATGTATAAACTTCTTGCAAAGTTACTTAACCATTATATCAAACCATATTTATTTATTGTGCACGAATTCGTTGTCTTTGCTTCATGCTTCCAACTCTGTGACAATCTCGAATTTAAACGCAATTACAATTCTTGCGGTTAATCACCACCTAAACTTAACGCCTGCACTATACGTGGATCAGCTTTACTACCCTCACGAAACTCTTCTAAGGTGAGGCGATCATCATGATTCTTATCCATTTGATCGAAGATCTTATCGACACGCTTCTGCGGTGTATTCTCATCCTCCGTTTGCGGCTGTTGGCCCTGCTCGAAAATGGCATCAAATGTTATTAGTATATGTTACTATCAATAATATATATAAATATTATTAGTATATATTATACATAATTCAATTGAATATGTATATATAGGTTATATTCTTTTTCAGTCTCAACAGCCGACTCGTTACAATCACAACTTTTTACTTATTCTTACGTGTAATTGTGATACTCTCTGGAGTGATAGGACTTACCACCATCTGATAAATGGCATCAACAATATTGTACATTTCCTCTCGAGTTATGTAGCCATCATTGTCCACATCATAAAGACGAAAGGCCCCTGTAGAGAAGGTAACATTTACATTATTTTTGTTGGTACAAGATTTGTATAGCTTACAGTGTAACTTCTCATCGAGGTTTCCACGTGATGTTATGGACAAAGCCCGAATAAATTCCTCAAACTCAATGGCTCCGTCCTGCCGATATTTAAGCGATTGGCCCATAGGATAATCAATCAATTGCTTAAATTTATATACTCACATTATTCTCATCGAATACTCGAAATACCAAAGAGGCAAATTTACTGGGATCTCCGTCAGGGAAAAATTGCTTATAAATTTTGATGAATCCCTGGTTGCAACGATTGTTTAAAAATTGGTTAAAAATAAGAAAACATACAGCAGGAAAAGTCTTTGTTAATAGACATAGAACTATTTCCAATAATTATTTACTCTTTATCGTTTAATTACAATGCATTTTATTATTTTCTTTAAGAATAAACCAAGGCTGCAAGCCTAACAAAAATGTTAGGCTGTTTCGGTTCACGGCTCGAACCAATGCCTCGCGTTACGTTTCAGTTCCGGTTCATTACATGCTCAATGAAGATTCCACTCGGCCTGCAGCCAAGATTTAAACACAATAACATATATTAAATTGGCACAGAAGCATTAAGATTAACACATACATGAAATCGAAAGGTTAGATCTTTAAGAGGATTATTTCTAGTGAAAGAGAAATTCTTTAAGGGAAAAGTAAATGGAATGGAAATTTAGTAATAAAATTGTTTATTATCTAAGTACATACTTTACACTTTTATTATTACAAGATTATTCTGAAGATCACTAATAAGATTTTGTTTTCAGATGTAGGCCGAATCTGATCAGAAAATGTTATCCATCAAATAATCTACCTTGAATATGGACTCCACAAACGGACCAGACAACTTTAACTTTAACAGTAGGTTCCACCCTCAAGTACACAATTTAAACATTCCATTGCCACACACGCAAAATTCATTAAATTTTTACTGTCAGCCGTCAATTTTAAAATGAACAGCATAAAGCAATTTTTCGATGCAACATCAATATAGCAAAAGTATTGAATTTATTCTGATAAATTTGCGAGAAAATAATTTAAAATGTCTGTATACTGCGCCATAATGAGGCGCAGTGCGTAATCAAATATTTTGCGAGCTACTAGTATATCCACAGTTTTTTTTTAGCCATAGTTATAGTTGCAGGCAGTACTAATGAAGCCATTCATGAGTGGGATAATTGGACCTGCGAATACCCCAGAGAGAATGTCGACACAATAACAGTCCTCAAATTTTCCACTGGGAAAAATGTGAATAAATATGAAATGTGGACGACCTAAACAAAGCCAAAGTCAAACAAAAAAATTATGGAGAGTGCTTGAAAAACGGCATACCACATTTGGCATATCAGTAAAAATTCGGCAAGTTTAAGTGGCAACAAACTGGCCGAAAACAAAGCCACAAAACTGCGGCACCAATAATGGCGGTGGCAATGAATGGGAAGGCCAAACAAACATTAAACCAAAACATAAAATTTCGAGTACAATCATAAAAAAAATATAGTATGTAAATAAAAAAAGCCAAGTAGTTTGCAGCTTAGTTTTTGTTTTTGGTTTTGTTTTTCAGTTTTAAATAGTAATGGTTAAAATTTGTGTATTTCTCTTGTGGAGAGGCTGGTGAAAATGAAAAGGAACAGACTTTTTTAATTTTTGTTATGGTTTTATGGTTTTTGGTTAATACGATTATTTTGCGGTTAGTTGTTTGAATACTAGTAGTTAAAAATAAAACATGATGTATACATTTAGCGATGGACTCGCGTCCCGTACTTACTTGTTCAGTCAGCAGACCATTCGGGCAGTCTTTAAGAAAACCTTTGTGCCTTTTTCACGGGGCGGGAAGTCGGAAGTCAAAGATCAAAATTACATAGTTTGTTTTGATAGCACAGTTTACAGTTCAGTGAGACAAAGAGAACGAGTTAAAAAACAAGCCAGAGCCAAGGAAATGAAGGAGACAGGGGAGAAAGAGAGAGAGAGAGAGATAACGAGAGTCGATTCAAGATTAACATAGCGTAGATACAAGTAGTCAAAGTTGTTGACAAAACGTTAAATAAATGTAAGAAAAAATAAACATAAATTAAAATTAATGAAAACAAAAATATATCATATTCATGTTATATATACATTTGTACATATACTATGGTAAATTGATAGAACCAGCAAAGTTCTGCGGAAAAAACAGTGGCACACAAATGACAAAAATTGTACACATGAATTGGTTAATGTAAATATTTAATAATTGGATGTCAACAATTTGGTGCATTATTTAATGCTAATTAGATTGTGCAGCCTCGCCTCAAGGAATGCCAACTGATATTTACATATTGCGGCGCATTCGCATTCGAATAGCCCCGAATCTCATTTATTGCATTACTTACAATTAATCATATTTGACAGCAAAATTGTTTAAAGTAATTTTGAATTTCGTAACGAATGCACACGCACCTCAGAGCGACAAATGAGCAAAATGATTACATTTAATTCAAATATGGCAAATGCCATTAACTCATGTGTATATACATACAGACATACTCATAGATAGACGCTAGGAATAATAAAAAAAAAAACAAAAAATAAACAGTTGCTGATTGCTGCCGACTTATGGCAGCAATATTCTTACCATTGACGTATTTCCTTTTCGGTAACTGGAAAGAGATTCAAGAAAAAATTGGTTATTGAAATTACAATTACTCAATATAATCTACATAACTAGCCCCTATATACAAGGCTGCAAGACGAAGTCGAACCGTGCCCGAAATTCCAAATTATTTCTCACAATTTTCTCAATAGTCATATATCTGCGGATTGTAATATTTTCAGTAGAACTGACCGGAGTGGTAAATTTAAAAGAAACTAAATAACAAATCAAGATTTGAAGCTAGACAATCCAGTTCGCGCATCGAACTTTAAGGCAGGAAGCTGGTTCGAGCTGTAAACCGAAATACCGACTATTATTTTTGGGCCACAGCCCTGGTAAATACTCTCAATAATTCATAAGTCTAGCGTTGGCCGTCGTCCCCAAGTCGCAAGTACTCATTGATCCCAGTACTCATCCCATTGAGCTGCTTACCTCTTACTTTATCGCACACATTACACAGCCATGGAGACAGGCAACGTAATGGCAACTCAAATAATTTGGCTCAGCCGCTGAGTTATGGCGGCTTAGCTCGAATTCGGACGGCTTTTGGCTATCAGCTTGCCACGAAAATTGATGACGTGCCATTGACAGGCTTAGGCGCATCAGACCCCACTAAACAGCTCTGAAGTTGACGGGGTAGCCAGCCGGAAACATAATAGCAACTGTGTGCCGTGTGTATGTGTGGAGTTGCATAAAGTGCATATCATTTAATAAATCATTTAATTTATTACCAGGTAGCTGTCGAGCGCAGTCACAGACATTCACACACACAATCACACACACACACACACGTCCAACACCCACCCACACACTATCAGCTGTGGCACATACCTCCAACTACATAGGTGGGCATGCGTGTATATGTATCGTCATATAGCACTCTTAGAGGCGCGTGTGGTGCATGCACGTCTGCACTTAGAAGGCTGAGCATACGAAACTGTGCTCTGTGCCACTTTACAAATGAAAAACACTGAAAAACAAGAATCAAGTTTTCTAGTTGGTGTAACGAACTTGAAATACCCTTTCAAATTTGCTACTAAGCAGACCACATCTAATCTCCGACATTTCTAATAAATTACTCAATGATATCATTATGTACACTTCATATCCGCAGCCCAGGCAAATTCCGTTTAAAATTGACAAAACAATGTTTAAGTAGCACATCCTAACTATAAAATAGAGTGTTTTACTCAAGTTTAAATCCGACTCGCTTCAAGTCCGGAGCCCCAATCAATTCTTCCCAATGAGCCGTGCCTTTAACCAAACTATTTGTCCAGAAAAACAAACAACCCGAGATCTAAATCAAAACCCAGAATGGAAGAGCTTCAAGAAACGAAACCAATGGCAGGGCGCTGGTTCAAACCGCAAGCCGAACTACCTGCTATTTATTTGTTCGTTTTGCAGCCCTCTTATAAATATTTATTTGTTGAGTTAATTTTATGGGGATGTGGATTGGGCGAGCTTGGGATAATCCCTGAAAATACTTGTGTAAAATTGTACAAAAATGGAGCATAAATTGGCAGAACTTAATAGACATCTAAATTTTAAAGCAGGAATAAATGAAATGTTTGTGTGTTGGTGAAAAGGGTACACTTGGCGCTTAGCCTAATCAAGCACACTTCATGGCGAGGCCTTTAATTAATTGTAAAGTGAAACGGCATTGATAGAAACTCACATATGCTTATCTGATAGTTGTCGAAAGAGTTCAGGCAGATTCGATCTAAGCTTTTGTTTTACAATGCGCCTTGTAACGAAGTAGACAGCGAACTCATTGGAAATTGTGGCATATGTGAATTGCAGTACTAATTGGAAAATGAAATGGCATTGGGGTTAGTCTGCAGCACATCCTTTGCGTGCGCTGGCTTGGACCACACAACTCTGTATAGCAGTTGGGTCGTCTTGAGGCACTGGCCGTCATAGTCTTTGCACGCAAACCAAGTCAGCGGCAGCCATTGAGCACAAATTGAAAAGCCTCCCTAGTTGCCTGGCATCAAAATATAACTCATTATAAGCCGCACAAGCAGAAACGGCACCCCTTTTGACCCGGGCGCCACGCACCCATCGAACCACTGGCGCCCCTTTTAAAAGTCTACGCACGCCAACGCGTCGGCTAAGTTGGCTCCTGGGCATGTTGATGTCGACGTTAAAGGACTTTTACTGCGGCTATATGAATAATACATGTGTATGTGTCTGTATGGGTGTGTGTATTTGTATGCGTATGTGTGTGTGTCTCTGTGTGTGTGTGTGTGTGTACAGCGCCGCCAGCAGTAAAGCAAATTAGTTCATAGCCCGGCGCATTGAGTGAGCTACTCAAAGATCCAATTCCCTCGTCGCGACCCAACGACCCTGCCGCCACACAGCCCCAGAATGCTGCTGGCTGGCAGAAACAACAAAAAATTATTTCGATTTAAATGTTTATTTGCGCAAGGCGGCATTTTCCCTTTTTTTTTTGGCGATTTTGTCTGTCCAAAAGTTATTTGTGGCCCGCAGTGTTTATTTAATCATTTTTGGAAAACATTTTCGTTGCCTGCTTTTAGGCGCAAGCAAAATAAAAAAGGCCAACGGGTCCTGCGATTTTGACTTTTCTGAATTTAATTTAATTTTAAACTGATTAAATTTAACTTTTTTATGAGCACACACACACACACAGGCAGGCAGGCACACACCTCGCAAGTAGCAAGGACTCAGTCGCCGCCTGGGAGTGCCCACATGCTAATTAATGAATGGCTGCCAAAGCTCTTGCCAACATTCACACATTCAGAAAACCAACAAAAATAAAAAATAAAATTAAGAAATAAGGGAGAAAAAAAAACAAGCGTCGACTTGCATGCGGGCACATACATGTGCGTGTCACGGCAAACTTTTTGTAGCTGTTTGCTTTGGCCTCACGAGTTCGTGATGTATATGCGCCGCATAGCTCATTGAGGATACCCTGTAAACAAGCGGGGCTTAAATATGTGGCAAACACGCTACCGAGCGGCGCAACAAATGCGCCATTAATCAAACACCTAATTGCAATACGATTCGCGGACGAGATAGGCCAAGTCAAAAAAGTCACCGAACAATAGAAGAAAATATCATCAATATTGTCTGTAATAACTTGATATGATTTGGCAAAGAGCATGGTTCAAGTGTTCAAGCTCTTCCAGCCTTCGCTTTTACTATTCCACCTATTTCCCGCCCGTATAAGTGCTTTTGCAGCTTTGAAATTGAGCTTGCAGGTGATTTGAAACTCACTTTACGAAAACTTTGTCTTTAAATCGTGGAACTTTGCAAATCCCACCAACTTTTCACACTTATGAGTGAAACTTTCGAAAGCATGGACGTTGGTCGACAAACGGTTTGTATAATACGAAAACTGAATTCTCAAGACGAACTGTTATAACAGAGCTATTTACCAATTCAGCCCAAGGCATCTCTCATGACCTATGCAGCAGCTTTGTTGCACTGCCTTTTCCCGTTCACGTGGCAAACACTTATCCATGTAATAGTTAATTACCCGCAGCAATGGTATCAAAATTCACGATTCGCCTTGACACATTTCATGCAACTTTAATTGAAGTTCCGCGTGCGGCTTGTAAATGTCACGATTTAGAAACATGAAACCGATTGCGATTGCAAAGGCTAAACGGGGATAAGACCTTATTGGTCAGAGAAAGAACAAGAACATATATCAACGGAAGGAGACAAAGAGAGAAAAAAACATATGGCAGTCAGGGGCAATTTTATGCTACTTATTCAGGATTTATAGACACTTACACTGATCATATCTGAAGTTAGTCGACGGAGACAGAAAAGTTGAATTGGAAAAATGGCAGAGGGAAGGGCTTATTACTCTGCCTGTCACGGACAGCTGGTTCTCTACTCGTTCTTGTTAAAGTTGCCGTTAAAGTTGACGAAAATGTAGTTCTATTTCCTATCCCCTAAATATGTTGTTCCCTTTTTTCTTGTCAATTTCAATGTTATGCTAAATTTTCCCACTCTCAACCCTTTCTCTCCCTCCCTCTCTCTGTCCCTCCCTCTCTCTCTCTTTCTCTCTCCCGCCATCTCCCTCCGTCTTTCCCAATTGGAGTTTTTTGTTGGAGCTTAATCAATATGTTTGTGTAACCATTACAAGCGGACAAGGAAATGAATTGTCTGACTGACTAACTCACTGACTAACCAATTGCTTTTCTGATTGACTAAGTCATTCACTAGCTGGTTCATTGATTGACTGGTAAATTAACTGACTGACTGATTGACTTACTCACTGGTTAACTGACTGACTGACTTACTCACTGACTTACTGACTGGCTGACTAACTGATTGACTGACTGAATAACTCAGAGATTGACTGACTGTTTGACTGAGACTGACTGGCGGATTGACTGATCGACTGACTATCTGACTGTGTGACTAATTGACTGACTGAATGATTAACTGACTGACTGAAAAATGACTGACTGGCTGACTGACTGACTGCCTGTCTTACTAACTAACTCACAGAGATTGACTGACAGACTGACTGAATGGCTGACTGACTGACTGCCTGTCTGACTGACTGATTGATTGACCGATTAACTGACTAGCTGTCTCACTGAGACTGACTGACTGATTGACTGACTGACTAGCTGATTGATTCAATGATTCACTAACTACTTACTGATTGACTATCTGACTGACTGACTAACTGAATATACTCGTAACATACATATATATGTTGCTCTTAAAACTATAACGCTGGAGAGCTAATGTGCTTGAATGCTAGCCGGTCGTTGCGCCTCGTCCTGTGAAAGCTGCAATGGCGCCATTAGCAAATTATTTACAACATGTGCACCATGTTTTTGGCCTGGGATTGGAATTGCTACTGGGACTGGGACTGGAACGAAGACAGATATTGGCACTGGTATTGGCACTGGCTATTGGGACAGAGACAAGGACAGCGACTGTCACACAGTGTCAAAAGCTAAAAGGAAAATTAAGTGAAACTGATTTAAACTTCACAACTACGCTAGGAGACAAATTCATTATAGTTTTGAAATAAAAATAATACATTTGATTAGAAACAAGAAGGATGAGCGTTGTTTGGCTGGAAATTATGCATTAGCTATGCACATTATTTCATAAATGATATCTCATTGATGACTTTAACAGAAAATTTGATTGGAGGCTATCTGCAATATTCCATTTAAAGGGTACAGAGAACTATATATATAAATTCTCTTGTTTAAGACATACCGACTTAGCCCGCAGTCCAGTCCAAGAATACGCATACACAAACACGCAGTGTAGATAATTGATAATGATAAAACACACAAATAACTACAGATTGACATGGAATATTAACGTAATTAATTGAATAATATAATATTAATTCTGATTTATTGCGTCAACAATCAGTTCTACGAGCTTCCCCTCCTGTTTGGCTACCCCTCAAACCAGTGTGCAGCTGGCGTTAGCATTCAACGTGCAGAGTGGGGGGAATGTGAGCGGAAACAGGAACAAGCGCTTGAGACTTCATTGGCAGCAGCTATTTGCCGAGGAGGTGCTGTTGCGGGGGTGGGTAGAGGTGTCGTTGAGTGTGTGTTTTTACTGCTCTGGTTGCTTGTTGCTTTTACACGTTTGATTTCCACTGCTAAATGCCAAACAAACTGTCACGAGGAGACAAGCTGAGTGCCCACTCGCACACTCAACCACATGCACACATAGAGGCAGCCATTTAATGGCACACACACACTCACAGAGAGAGAGAGAGAGAGAGAGAGAGAGAGAGAGAGAGAAGAGAGGAGTGTGTGTGTGTTTGAAACATAACTTGACAATGAGGCGACCCCCGACGAGCACTGAACACAAATACAAGTGATATAATAATTTCAACAGTGAATTGAATTTTGAGTGCCAGAACTAACTGGATGCCAATGCGTGCAGAATGAACTGATAGACGGGTACAGGGCACAGAACACAGGGCACAGGACATGGGACATAGGACATAGGACATAGGACATACGACTTAGAACAGCCAAAAGGGCCATCGCTATATTTTCCATATTATCTATGAGTGTGCGTGTTTGTGTGTGTGTGTTTGCATAGCAAAGAGCATGTGCCAAATGAATGCAGTTCAAGTGGCATTGCAATATGACATTGCGACTGGCAGGAAGCCTGTCTGGGTCTGGGTCTGGGTCTGGGTCTTGGTCTGAATCTGGGTCTGCGTCCGCAGACACGTTCGGGTCTGCGTCTGGGCTCCGTTTGGGTCTGGAACGACATTGTCTTCATTTTAGTTTTATAAGCGATTTGCCGCCGCCTTCCAGCAACTGTTTGTCAAAGCGCAACACAAACAGGAATTGACATAAAAGACCCACACACACACATTCGTGGGGATAGGAGGACTACCACTGGGAACAACGGCGGCAAAAGTAATCAAATGTTGGCCACATTTCAGCATGTTTTCTTCTTGGCTGCTCTCTGCTGCACCCTTATTGACTAAGGGCATAACTGGCTACAGAAATTGCCTGCGCTTATTGAAATTCCTTCAAAAATGTCTTGAAGAGCGCGAAGCACAACTTAAATGATTTTTTTCACGAAACTCTTAAAGTTAATATATACATATAAAACAATATATCTCTATATATAAAAAGGTTTGTCCTGACTGACTGACTGACTGACTGACTGACTGACTGATTGGTGATCAACGCACAGCCCAAACCGTAAGAGCTAGGAAGCTGAAATTTTCACTGTAGTTACCTTATGTGATGAAGGTGCACGTTAAGACGGGGTCTCGGGAAATTCCACCCGCAATTGTGGAAAAATCGGGAAAAACGTTTGTATGAAACTTTTTTGTTTACCATCCGATCGGCCTCAAACTAATTTGCAAAGATCTTTGTTCAAATTCATTTGAGGGGTGTTTCGCACTTTTCGGAAAACCCATTTCTCCTTGGTGGAAATGGAGGTCAAAGATTTGGTGGGTGACGTTTCACGCTCAAATTCATTTCCAGTGATCTATATGAAAAATCATTTGAGACGTGTTTCTCACTTTTTGCAGAATTCAAACTTCTTCGGGGGGAATGCGATTTAAAGATTTTTTGGGCGGCGTTTTAAGTTGTGTCCGATTTGCTTCAAACTTATTTTCAAAGCTCGCAATAAGAACTTAATGAATACGTATTTCGACGATTTGGAAAATTCCACCCGCAACAGTGGTAAATTGGCGGAAAACGGTTGTATGAAAGTTTTTTGTTTACCATCCGATCGGCCCCAAACTAATTTTCAATTGTGAATTTTAAGAGTTTTCCGATTTGCATAAAAGTTGTTTGATTCCCGTCCGATCAGTTTTAAAATCATTTTCAAAGCTTTTTTGATTTTATAACATACGTGCCACGGGCAAGGCCGGGTTATACCCGCTAGTATATATATATATCTTTATATCAGATCAGACAAATAAAATCGAATTGCTTACAACAGATTTCCGCACATTTATCGAGCTTTGAAAATAAGCTGTGCGAAACACGTCCCCAATGCATTTTAAACATATCGCATTGTATGCCAAAAAGTTTCGAACAATCGTTTTCGGCATATGTTCTATATAGACGGAACAAATCACGGAAAACTCCGTGATCAGAACGCATACACAATGCAAACTTCTCTTCCGCTTGTGCTTTAATCTCCAGTCTATCACCCAGTTAGTCAGTCAGGACGATGAAAGAATCGCTTTAACTTACTTTTATCTTTTGAATATGCATTGAAGGATTAATATAGGACAAAACTGAATAAACTGAATATTATGATCAAATCAAACACATTTTATGCTTAGATTTTTTGAATATCATTGAAGTAGATCAAGTTCGGCGCAAAAACAACTTAATAAGACTGACTGAGAAGGAAATAAAAGACAACAGATAAAACTAAATAGGGCACTAAAAACATTTTGTCATTTTGTCAGAAATAATGGCCATTTATCATACAAGTGGCCGAGAATAAAACATTGCTTACAGAAAATCTGTTATGTCTGCGCGGTTGTGGTTTCTCTTCTCTTCTTCTAACGGCAAAAATAAAGTAGTCGGTTTCGGTTTATACGAGAACAGATGTACATACCAAATTTGAAGTCCCTAGTACATACATGTAGACCAGTCAGCTATCGATACTTATCGACTGTGAGAAAAGAGGAAAAGCTATCGATAACTTAATTCAAATCTTAAAGTCTCTAGCCTGCATAGCCTTTGAGATTTAACCCTTTTCATTGGATACAGGGTATATGAAAATTGCTGCTGATATCGCCTTGCTTCGAAAAGCTCAGTTTAACGCAATGCCCAGATGAAAATACAGTCCAGTACAGTAAGCACCAATTCAGACAACAAGGATTGCCAATAATATGGCCACTCTGGGCAATGAACAATAAAGAATACTCCTTAGCTCTTAAAGCTCACGACCAGACTGCGAATCGTAGTATGCAATCGAAATGCAATGGAGCGTCTTTGTTGGTGTGGGCTGGGGCCTTAGACCGGGCGGTGTGCGGGTTATGCGATTGCACTCAGAAACTTTTGCCATGTGCAACTGTTGGAAAGTATGTGCCTCAAAAATTGTACCAATACTCATATAAACTTAACTGCCACAAAGTAAAAAGGCCCCAAGACTAGCAAATAATATAAAAGGACCCTAATGCTGGCATATGGTTATGGAGCACTCTCCAAAACGCAAACACACAGAGAACTTGTCGCAGTATTGGAATACTTTCAGCCCACATATAAGGCAACTATGTGGGAGTTTCATATATGGTTTGAAATTCTCAGAAACTGATTTAACTCCAAAAATCAAATATGTCAGTCAGTACAATTTCTTCTTGTTGCTGACAAGGTTAGAGAAATCACTTAAATCGTTTTCGTTTGCTAACTGTTCAATTGTAGAAAGCTGTCAATCTGCATGTGTAAAATTTAACAAGAAGATAAATTTTTGTGTTGGCTACTTATTAATACATACAATTTTGATATACCCTGAGAAAAGTGGATCGATTCCTGTCGCTTCAGGGCTTACCAATCGAAATTAGCACTTAAAAACGATGCAGGCACTTAAATGTTACATCGCAGAAACATATTCGTATTTTCCTGTATTTATTTGCGAAAAAAACAAAAAAAAACTTGCGCACGTTTGGGCTGCCAAAATGGCTTTCAACAGTTTTTAATGCTTGCCACAATAATTCATATGGAGTTCAAGGCTGGAGCGCACCCAACATGATTTGTGGCCTGTTCAGGGTGCTTGGGCGAATCAGTCCAGGGCGTAGCAGGGGCTAGTGTGGATTATTGCCATATACTCACAGTATGTGTCTGTCGTCAGACGATCAATGGTATCCTGCTTCAATTTGGAGTTCTTCTTGCCCATTGTGTGGCCGTGTAGATTGCGGTTATGTGTGTGTGTGAGTGGCAAAGAGACGCGTAGGCCCGCACGGGCGTTGGGTCAGCAACGGGCAGCCTGTTAACGTTAACAGGTAATTGGAGGAGCGTGTCTTATCCCGATTTGCCACTGGTTAGATCTGAAAGAGCAAGTGGGAAGAGATTAAAGATATGTACATATCAGCTGTCAGCTGTGCCAGGCACATTGTCAAGCCCAAGCGTCATCCATCATGCAGTAGCCACAGCCCATGCACCTGCCGGGGCCACAGCAATACCCACGCCAAACCCGGGCGCCGTCGGCGGTGCTGATGAATAGCGAAAGCTACTTTGATATTTAAGCATGTCAGAGCCAGTTATATATATCTGTGTGTGTTGGGTTTGTGTGTGTGTGTGTGCCCAACCAAAAGCATGACGACGACGCCGGCAGCAGCGTCGACTGCGTCAACATCCAGGGACATCTCACAATGCCGAGAAATGCCAAAAGGAGCCAGTCACTCATTCAGCCAGTCAGTCAGTCAGTTCGCCAGTCAGTTAGTCAGCTGGTGCTCTTCCGACTAGTTTTCCATAATTTTGTGTCTTAACTTGCAGCGTCTTCACATTCTCAACAGAATGGCTTAAATTAACTTAAATCAATAATTCTTTCGCTCAAACTGAGCGGAGTCAATCGAAAGTTAAGTTGATAAATCAACATGTTAACATATTGCAAATTGTTGCTATTCTGACTCACTTTCTGAGCCTTTTGCATTTTATTTATCAGTTCTCAACAATAAGTTAAAGACGACATACTATCACTAACTATTTTGTTTATTCAAATATGCAAATTATAAAGCTCTCGAAGAAAAACAAGCCTCAAGTTTGGCGGCTAGACCACTGGAAAGCACTTTTACTGATCTTTGCCGCGCCCATCAAACTTTTTTAACAAAAATCGAAAGTTCATTAAATCACGGTTTGAAAGTCACTGCTCTGAGGTTACAGTCTTAGAGTCACCAAGAAAATAATCGAGAAAACTCCGATTTAACAGAGTATTGCCTAGTTTTCTATTTTTATTTTATTTCTATTTTTTTTTTCTTCAAGAAAAGTTAGAGCATCTTTGCGCCGCCTTGCAAAAGCTCGAATTCTTGGTTTCCTGCTTGTTTCCTTTACCTTTGCGGTTGCTGCAACAAGGACAATACCGAGGCTGCTGATGGGATGGATGACGACAAGTTTGCCATAAAGTTACGTAATTAAAATTTTAATAATTTCTCGTGCAAGTTTTGTGCGCAAAACTTTTTTAATTCCTTTTTGCAAAATTTGCGTGAGGCTTTAATTGACTTTCAATTGGCAATTGAAACTAAGTACCTAACCGAAAGGCAGTCAGACACACACACACACACACACACAAACACGAGTACAAGCGCGTGGGTGTGTATTCTTTCACTCTCTCTCTCTCCATATAAATATGTGGCATTAAAATGCAATAATCATGATTTATACACGCAACAGCCATAAAGATTCAAAGCCCAGCCATAATTAGAATCTGCAGCACAAATCATGAACATTTAACTGAATGACAAATTGGACAAAACTTGCAACACGCAATCATAAAATTGTACGCTGCCATTCTCAGTCCTTTTCTCAGAGTCTCTCCTCCCTCTCTCTCACTCTCTCGCTGTCTCGCTCCCTATTTTTCTGCCTCTCTTTCTTTTCCGCTTGAATTCTATCCCTTGTCTCGCTGCCACTTCCATATTCCATTTGGCATTGGACACTCGCCATTTTACGAGTTGCGGACAAATTTGATGGCTGCTGAAGGAAAACCCTGAGCAACGACAAGAAATGGCGCAGGCGGCAAGTTTTGATGAAATTCTCCAGGCACACTCCGCACCACGAACACCTCAAACTCAACAAGAATTCTCCGCGGAAGTGGCCCCTAGATGAAACTCGCTTGCAGGAGCCGCATGGCACACTCAGCTGCACATAAAAATGTTTATATATAATAAATTTAATTTTAAAAAAATGCCATAATATGCATTATATGTGTTTATATATAATAATATGTGTTGAATTTCTATTGGGGCGCATTTTATGCTTTTTTTAATTTCTTATTAAACTAGGGTTACTTTTTCAATGAAGGATATATACATAATTCAAGACTATGGTGAAATACATCTTCGGAAAGAAGTTTCTTTTCAAACGTAAAATTTTATTTGAAACGTGATCCTCCGGTTGCGGAAATCAAATTTGCTAGGTGCAATTGGAGGCTCAGAGTATCAGGAAAGTATTTGCATTTTTCCACTGGCGGGAAATGGGCGGAAAAGGAATGTTGCAAATTTAAAGAAACTTGGCCCGAGCAAGGCACATAATTATTGAATTAAACTATTTAAATTTTGGATCACATTATGAATTGGAGATTTATTAAAAAAATATGTAAAATGCACATCTCTATGATAGTTTTCAAGGATCATTAGAAATGCATGCCTAATGGCCGTGCAGTCCTGTGCCACATATGTACACACAAGTAAATAGATGTTTGTGAGCATGTATGTGCATTTACGCTAGTCACCCTAGAAATAGCCGCTTGCTCGGGTAGGTAAACAAAAAGTACAAATGATGCGGAACCGAGATGGCCAGGATGCATATAGCACGAGCTTGTGTGGAGGCGGGCAGCGACGGACAGACACGGACAGACACGGACAGAGACGGACAGAGACAGACAGAGACGGACATGGACATGGCATCTACAACGATGTCTGTGATGCAATTGCGAACGAGCTGGCCAAGCATCATCCTCATCTGGGCATCTAGTCACATTGCTGGAGGAAGTTGTTTGTGCCCAAGGCTCAGGGCGTCTGTTCCTATGTCTGTGTCTGTCAGTGTAGGAAATTGAAAGGCAAGAAAATTGAACATACTTTAAGGCCTCCGGCAGCAGCAGCACAATTGCAAATTGCAGGTGAACTCTGAACCGCCCTGCCGTCCAGCCAAGTGTAACGTGCTGCAGACATTACGCGATTTCCGGTTGGCTCTAAATGTATTTTAACTTTTGCCGCTTCGTGAGTCAAAATTATATAGAATTGCCGCTGGCGTCGCCATTTAATTGAATAATTGCCAAACGACTTGTAAACAAGTTAGAAGAAGACTGGCCCAGAACTTTGTCCAACGAGTTCCTATGCCAATTTGTTTTGGCCAGCGCAGCCAAAGCACAAACATGCGACTGGGCCAAACAACGCTGACGTGGTTGCTCAACTAATCGCCCGACTATGCCTTGACACACACACTCTCGCACACACTCCCACACAGACACACACACACTTGCTTGCCAACCTGACTTTGGAGGTATCGTAGCAAAAGTTCATCCTAACAAATAAGTAAAATTCCGGCACAGCAGGATGAAATCATTGCATCTGGTTAAATACTCGGAATTTATGCAATCCACCGCTTTCGGGATGACAGCGGCTGCATCTAATCGAATCAACTGCTAAGGCTGAGGATGATGATATAAGTTAGGATACAAAATACTACGTAACATTACCCGGCTTTGTATGTTATTCACCGACTTGGAGAACAACTGAAAACAGGTCGATACGAGTCTTAGGTTATTCTCTTCAACTTTGTGAGCAACAACGACATACCCTGCATTCTAAAGTGCTCTCTTTGATTGGGATAAAATTACATTTAATGAGCAATATCTGTAATCAGCCTATTTACATACGTTATTAGCTGCATAGTTCAACAGATACGTACAAATGCCAACAATAAAAATTGGACTAAGTTTAAATGGAATTTCTAAGCAGACAATTATTCGCGTGTCACATCCTTTCCCTTTCCATAAACTAATTGTCATTCCCAGACACCGACTGTCCTTTTGAGCAGTATTTTTTTAGATGTCTAAAAAAGACTCGGCTAAAAGAGTTTTGCCATGGGGCTTAGGCAACTGTGGGCATGCGATAGGCAAAGGCCGTATACAGCTGCCACTTTGTGCAATTTTTAGCTGTGATTGCACTTTTCAGTTTCTTATGAAGTTTTACAATTGCATTTGCGAAATATTTTCTTCGAAAAGCAAATTGCAAATTCCGGACTCGTTTGTTAGTCAGTCAATGTGTGTGTGTGCGAGCTGTGATTGATTGATGTTATGCATGCCGTTAATCTTTTATTATTATGTGGCTGCAAAACTCTATGACCGAGTGTACTACACATTTTATTATTAGTACTGAGAATAAAGTCCAGCTAATGGTATTTTATATGTGACAGCAAAAACTTTGCTCTGTTGTCCAAAGTCAAACATTCCAAGTGAATTCCCAAGCACACGCACACACACACACACACAGACTCACGCATAACCACACGAGTTTATCTAGAGATAAACCCAAAAACCGTTTGCTACAACACCAAGCGCCGCCTCAAACACCAGTCCCCAAATGTTTCAGCACATGTGTTTGGCTATTAACTTGCGCTGTAAATTATGCAAAATCCCAAACAACAGCAACTGGGATGAAAAACAAAGGCGACTGCAACAATGGCTAGATACAAGTTTTCCCCATACATGTGTATCCATATAAATATGCTTGTTGGCCAGCGGGGCAACAGCGGAAGCGGAGGCGGAAGCAACGGCAGCACACACAGAAAATAGGAAGAGACGGCGCGAGTGAGCGCAGCATTGGAGCCGACACACGTGAGCCGAAACATTTACATAACCTCTTTCATTCTGATTTGATTATATTCATTCAATTTCGTAAGCGCGACCAGCGCTACAACAACAACAACAACACCAACAACAATAAGAACAACAAAGACGGTGACAAAGCGCAACAGAAGTAAAAGCAAATCGTGAAGAGTAAAAGGTCGAAAGGCAGCATCTCCCATTTTTCCGGACACCTTTGCCAACTTACTAAAAAAAATTGAATATATTATCAGACAACTTTTTGTGTGTGGGTGTAGCTATTAACGTGTGTCTGCATATGTGTGTTGTGTGTGTGTGTGTGTGTGACTGTTACCCTTTATGGCCTGCTTGGGCAGTCCATTAGGTTGTCTCTTTACTCTACTTAAGCAGCATTTGGCCAAATCTATCTCTGTCTCTCTCTCTCTCTCTCTGTCTATCTCTGTCTCTTTCAGCCACTAGTTATATTTGGGCCATGTTATTTTGTGTCGTCGTACCTCTCTCTATTTG